TTGGGACCAGGCATTCGGACAATCGGGCAGATAAAGAAAGGACTTTGACAATGGACAAGAATGGACAAAGTGGAATGAAATTATGGAACTCTGGATGATGAACGCTGAGCATGAGATTGGTTTTATTGATTTGTGTTATATATTGATTGTTTTAACTGTTATAATTGTTTAATTGCTGTTTTATACGTATGTGTATTACTGTGTAGGCATCGAATTGTGCCTTTTGTAAGCCGCCCTGAGTCCCCCCTCGGGGGTTGAGAAGGGCGGGGTAGAAGTACTCGCAATAAATAAATAAATAACTCACAGGATGCAAAAGCCCTAGCAAGTTGTGATGCATTTTGTCTCCAGACAAAACAAGACCCCCAGCTCTTATGGAGAGAGGAACAGGAGTGTATTGACATCCGTGTGTTGACTTCAACATTCCCTGTAATAGATTCTTGTGGGTTTTTGGGGGGCTATAGGGCCATGTTCTAGAGGCATTTCTCCTGATGTTTCGCCTGCATCTATGGCAAGCATCCTCAGAGGCACTGCAGACTCCTTCAACCAGAGAAGTCAGCCATAGCAGAGCACCTGATGAACCAGCCTGGACACAGCATATTATTTGAGAACACAGAAATGCTGGACCACACCAACAACCACCATGTCAGACTACACAGAGAAGCCATTGAAATCCACAAGCATGTGGACAATTTCAACAGAAAGGAGGAAAACATGAAAATGAACAAAATCTGGGTACCAGTATTAAAAATCTCAAAAATTACAACAGCAAAACAGCAGAGGGGAAACAACCAGGCACATCTTAACACCTCTCAACAAAAGATTCCCCCAGGCTCAGCCAGGCCTTCTAATGCTAATCAAGGTGGTCAGTTGAAACATTCACCCCTAGCTCCAGCAGACAAGAGTCCTTTGTCCCACCCCGGTCATTCCACAGATATATAAACCCATTTTCCTACTTCCAACAGACCTCACTACCTCTGAGGATGCTTGCCATAGATGCAGGCGAAACATCAGGAGAAATGCCTCTAGAACATGGCCATATAGCCCAAAAAACCCACAAGAACCTAGTGGTTCCAACCGTGAAAGCCTTCGACAATACATTATTCCCTTGGAATCTTAAACCCGAGTGCCTGGCTGCTCTGTCTATCTGGATGAGGAGGAACAAGCTGAAGATCAATCCCGACAAGATAGAGGTCCTCCTGGTCGATCACAAACCTGACTGGGGTATAGGGTGGTAACCTGAAGTCACACTCCCCCTGAAGTCACAGGTCCGCAGCTTGGGAGTCCTCTTGGATTCATTGCTTACGCTTGAGGCTCAGGCGTCGGCGGTGTCTGGGAGGGCTTTCGCACAATTGAGACTCGTGCACCAACTGCGACCGTACCTCGCAAAGTCTGATCTGGCCGGGGTGGTCCATGCCTTGGTCACCTCCAGATTGGACTACTGCAATGCACTCTGCTTGGGGTCCCCTTGAAAATGGCTCGGAAGTTCCAACTGGTCCAACGAGCAGCAGCCAGGATGTTAACTGTTGCTCCTTACAGAGAGAGAGGTCAACCCTCTTGTTCAAGGAGCTCCACTGGCTGCCATTTAGTTTCCGAGCCCAATTTAAGGTGCAGGTGCTTACCTACAAAGCCCAGAACGGTTTGGCGCCATCCTACCTGCGTGACTGCATCTCCGTGTAGAAACCCAAACGTTCACTTCGGTCATCTGGAGAGGCCCTGCTCGTGATCCCGCCTGCGTCGCAAGTGCACTTAGTGGGGACACGAGACAGGGCCTTTTCCGTGGTGGCCCCCTGTCTCTGGAACACTCTCCCCAAAGAGACAGGCCCCTACATTGGCAGTCTTTAAAAAGAACTTTAAGACCTGGCTGTTCCGATGTGCCTTCCCCGATTAGGAAATCTCCAATGCCAAGTCCCAGACGCACTTTATTAGAATTAAGACTGCTGCACACTGCACTTGCCCTATAATCCTTACATATCACCTGTCACATCAGCACTTTTTAATCCTGTACCCTTTACTCTGGCCCGGCCTAGTTTTATCCTGTTTGATGTATTTTTTATTGCTTGTGGTTTTTGTTGTTTAATACTGCTTTAATTGTTTTTAATTTGCGTTAAGTGTATTGTTATGTTGTGTGTTGAGGCCTTGGCCTTTGTAAGCCGCATCGAGTCCTTCGGGAGATACTAGCAGGGTACAAATAAAGTTTAATAATAATAATATATAAACCCATTTTCCTAGTTCCAACAGATCTCACTACCTCTGAGGATGCTTGCCATAGATGCAGGCGAAACGTCAGGAGAAAATGCCTCTAGAACAGTGGCTCTCAACCTTCCTAACACCGCAACCTCTTAGTACAGTTCCTCATGTTGTGGTGACCCCCAACCATAACATTATTTTGGTTGCTACTTCATAACTGTAATTTTGCTACTGTTATGAATTGTAATGTAAATATCTGATATGCAGGATGTATTTTCAGTCACTGGGCCAAATTTGGCACAAATACCCAATACACCCAAAATTTGAATACTGGTGGGGTTGGGGGTGATTGATTTTGTCATTTGGTAATGCTGGAGTTGCTGGGATTTATAGTTCACCTACAATCAAAGAGCCTTCTGAACTCCATCAATGATGGAATTGAATCAAACATGGCACACAGAATTCCCATGACCAAGAGAAAATATTGGGAAGGTCTGGTGGACATTACCTTGAGTTTTTGGAGTTGTAGTTCACCTATATCCAGACTGTGGACTCAAGCAATTTTGGATCTGGATCAAACTTGGCACAAATACTCAATATGCCTAAACGGTTCTGGCCCTGCTTACCTCTCCGAACGCATCTCTACCTATGAACCGACCAGAACATTAAGATCGTCTGGGGAGGCCCTGCTCTCGATCCCGCCTGCGTCACAGGTGCGCTTGGCGGGGACGAGAGACAGGGCCTTCTCAGTGGTGGCCCCTCGGCTATGGAATGCCTTACCGGCAGACATCAGACAGGCACCTTCGTTGCTGACGTTTCGGAGAATGGTTAAGACCTGGCTTTATGAACAAGCGTTTGGTTAAGCAGTGCAACCAATCAAAGGAAGACGGTAAATGGAACATAGGAATGGCACAAGGATTATGAGAACGGATCTGATTTCAACTGAGGCGTTATGTTATGTCTGTTTTGTTGATCTGTCTTGTTGATTGTTAACTGTTGTGGATTGATGCTGTTGATCATGTTTGTTGCATTGTTATGTTTTAATTGCACTGACACTGTTTGATAATTGTACCATGTAAACCGCATTGAGTCGCCTGTTAAGGGCTGAAAAATGCGGTATAGAAATAAAGCAAATAAATAAATAATAAATATCAAATGTGAACACTGGTAGAGTTTGGAGAAAATAGACCTTGCCATTTGGGAGTTGTAGTTGTTGGGATTTATAGTTCACCCACAATAAAATAGCATTCTGAACCCCACCAATAGAATTGGACCAAAACCTTCCACACAGAACCCCCATGACCAACAGAAAATACTATGTTTTCTGATGGTCTTTGGCGACCCCTCTGACACCCCCTCATGACCCCCACAGGGGTCCCGACCCCCAGGTTGAGAAACATTGCTCTAGAACATGGCCCTATAGTCCGAAAAAACCCACAAGAACCTAGTGGTTCCAGCCATGAAAGCCTTCGACAATACATTATTCAATGTATTGTCGAAGGCTTTCATGGCCGGAATCACTAGGTTCTTGTGGGTTTTTTCGGGATATAGGGCCATGTTCTAGAGGCATTTCTCCTGACGTTTCGCCTGCATCTATGGCAAGTATCCTCAGAGGTAGTGAGGTCTGTTGGAATTAGGACAATGGGTTTATATATCTGTGGAATGGCTGGGGTGGGGCAAGGAGCTCTTCCTTGCTGGAGCTAGGTGTGAATGTTTCAACTGATCACCTTCATTAGCATTTGAAGGCTTGGCTGAGCCTGGGAAAATACCCTGTTGAGAGGTGATAAGATGTGCCTGGTTGTTTCCTCTCTGCTGTTTTGCTGTTATAATTTTAGAGTTTTTTAATACTGGTAGCCAGATTTTGTTCATTTTCATGGTCTCTTCCTTTCTGTTGAAATTGTCCACATGCTTGTGGATTTCAATGGCTTCTCTGTGTAGTCAGACATGGTGGTTGTTGGTGTGGTCCAGCATTTCTGTGTTCTCAAATAATATGCTGTGTCCAGGCTGGTTCATCAGGTGCTCTGCTATGGCTGACTTCTCTGGTGAGTAGTCTGCAGTGCCTTTCATGTTCCTTGATTCGTGTTTGGGCAATGCTGCGTTTGGTGGTCCCTATGTAGACTTGTCCACAGCTGCATGGTATACGGTAGACTCCTGCAGAGGTGAGAGGATCACTCTTGTCCTTTGCTGAACGTAGCATTTGTTGGATTTTCTTGGTGGGTTTGTAGATGGTTTGTATGTTGTGTTTCCTCATCAGCTTCCCTCTGCGGTCAGTGGTTCCCTTGATGTATGGCAGGAACACTTTTCCTCTGGGTGGATCTTCATCTTTACTCTCGTGGCTTGTTCTCGGTGGTCTTGCAGCTCTTCTGATGTCTGAGGTGGAGTCTCCATTGGCCTGGAGAGCCCAGTTGAGGTGGTTCAGTTCATCTTGGAGGAGGTGGGCTTCGCAGATTCTTTTTGCATGGTCTGCCAAGGCTTTAATGGTGCTTCTTTTTTGACTTGGGTGATGGTTGGAGTTTTTATGTAGATATCTATCCGTGTGTGTGGGTTTTCAGCCATGAAAGCCTTCGACAATACAGAAAATACTATGTTTTCTGATGGTCTTTGGCGACCCCCTCAGGGGTCCCGACCCCCAGGTTGAGAAACACTGCTCTAGAATATGGCCCTATAGTCCGAAAAAACCCACAAGAACCTAGTGGTTCCAGCCATGAAAGCCTTCGACAATACATTATTCCCTTGGAATCTGAAACCCGGAAGCTGCACGTCACTCCTTCCCTAAGCCACGCCCTCTTTGCGCGAAGCCACGCCCCCCAAGAATGGCAGTTGGCCGGGGGCGGAGCCAAGGGGCGGAGCCAAGAGTCCGCTCTGAGGCGGCGTCGGAGGACGAGGCCTGGTCGGCCATGTTGCAGCTGCGGGACGCGGTGGAGGGCCAGGGCCAGGGCGGCGGGGCCGGAGGGGCGCTCTCTCCGGGCTCCGGCGACGCGGCGGCGGTTCTGGTGCCTTTCACACCGCCGGGGGAGTTTCCGCCCGGCTCCGGCTCGTCGTCGCTGTCTCCGCGGCAGACGCTCCGGCCCCTCAGCGTCCTCAACCCCACCCGCAGCGGGCGCCTCAAGGAGTACTTCGTCTTCCGGGTAAGGAGGGAGGGAGGGGCGGGGCTATGGGGACGCCACGCCCCCTTTGTGACGTAGGCGGAAAAATGGCGCCTCCCTTAAAGGGGACGAAAGGGCTGAGTGGGAAATTGTTTATATTTGTGTGTGTGTAGATAGATAGATAGATAGATAGATAGATAGATAGATAGATAGATAGATAGATAGATAGATAGATAGATAGATATAATGTTTCCATATTATTAATATAGTTCATATAATGTTTTAACTACTGGAATATTCTGTCCAATTCTGGGCACCACAATTGAAGAGAGATATTGACTCTAAGCTGGAATGTGTCTAGAGGAGGGCGACTCAAATGATCAAGGGTCTGGAGAACAAGCCCTATGAGGAGCGGCTTAAGGAGCTGGGCATGTTTAGCCTGAAGAAGAGAAGGCTGAGAGGGGACGAGAGACAGGGCCTTCTCCGTGGTGGCCCCTCGGCTGTGGAACGCCCTTCCCGCAGACGTTAGATGGGCTCCCTCCCTGCTGGTGTTCAGGAGAAGAGTGAAGACCTGGCTCTTTGAACAGGCGTTCAACTAAGCAGTGCAATCAATTGACTGAGTTTGGAACTGGAATAATGGATGAGGAGATCGGATTGTGATTTTACTGATGAGACGTGATGGATTAGTTATTAGATGTATTGATGTTTGTTCATTTACCGATGTATTGTTGTATTGTTTTAACTGCTTTAGTGACTGTTTAGATGCTAATGCTATGCACTTTGTATATTGTCCTGTTGTAAACCGCACTGAGTCGCCTACGGGCTGAGATAGTGCGGTATACAAATAAAGTAAATAAATAAATAATAAATAAATAATATGGTAAAGGTAAAGGTAGTCCCCTGACATTAAGTCCAGTCATGTCTGACTCTGGGGTGTGGTGCTCATCTCCATTTCTAAGCCAAGAGCCAGCGTTGTCCGTAGACACCTCCAAGGTCATGTGGCCAGCATGACTGCATGGAGCGCCGTTACCTTCCCGCCGGAGCGGTACCTATTGATCTACTCACATTTGCATGTTTTCAAACTGCTAGGTTGGCAGAAGCTAAGGCTGACAGCGGAAGCTCACGCCGCTCCCCGAAATCGAACCTGCGACCTTTCGATCAACAAGCTCAGCAGCTCAGTGCTTTAACCCACTGCACCACCGGGGGCTCCTATGATAGCCATGTATAAATATGTGAGAGGAAGTCATAGGGAAGGGGGAGCAAGCTTCCTTTCTGCTGTCCTGGAGACTAGGACGCAAAACAATGGCTTCAAACTACAAGAGAGGAGATTCCACCTGAACATGAGGAAGAACTTCCTGACTGTGAGAGCCGTTCAGGAGTGGAACTCTCTGCCCCGGAGTGTGGTGGAGGCTCCCTCTTTGGAAGCTTTTAAACAGGGGCTGGATGGCCATCTGTCAAGAGTGATTTGAATACAACATTCCTGCTTCTTGGCAGAATGGGGTTGGACTGGATGGCCCATGAGGTCTCTTCCAACTCTTTGATTCTATGATACTGTTACTAATTATTTATATTATTAGTAATAGTCCAATTAGTATTATTAATTAGGGCTCACTATTACCAATCAGTAATTAATAATACAATTAGTACTATTACTAATAATATAAACAATTAGGAACACTAGTTAAAACATTATTATATTCTCGGTGGCGCAGTAAGTTAAACTGCTGAGCAGCTGAACTTGCTGACCAAAAGGTCACAGGTTCGAATCCAGGGAATGGCATGAGCTCCCGCTGTTAGCCCCAGCTTCTGCCAACCTATTTATTTATTTACTGTATTTGTATACCGCTTTTCTCAGCCAATTGGTGACTCAAGGCGGTTTCCAACAAATCAGTATGCATAAAACATAATATAGATTAACAACATTAAAGAGTATAAGACATTACAAAAGCAATAAAAGCAACATCATCAGCGTCTCATTATTCTCAAGCATTGTCCAATTCCATTGTCAGGTCATTCAATTTCCTATATTAGCTACTCTGTATTTGTAAACGCTTGCTCGAATAGCCACGTTTTAACTTGCCTCTGAAACGTCAAGAGGGAGGGAGCAGATCTGATTTCCCTAGGGAGGGCATTCCATAGCCGAGGGGCCACCAATAAGAAGGCCCTGTCTCTCGTCCCCGCCAAACATACTTATTACGAAGGTGGGACCGAGAGCAGGGCCTCCCCAGATGACCTTAAAGTCCTCAGTGGTTTGTAAGGGGAGATAGGTTCGGACAGGTAAGTTGGGCCAGAACCACTTAGGGCTATATAGGCCAAAGCCAGCACTTTGAATTGGGCCCGGTAGCAAACTGGCAGCCGGTGGAGCTGGTGCAACAGAGGAGTTGTATGCTCCCTGAGCGCCACTCCTATTAACAACCTGGCTGCCGTTCGTTGGACTAGTTGAAGCTTCCGGAACGTCTTCAAAGGCAACCCCACGTAGAGAGCATTGCAGTAGTCTATACGGGATGTAACCAGAGCGTGGACTACCATGGCCAAGTCAGACTTCCCAAGGTACGGCCGCAGGTGGCGCACAAGTTTTTACTGTGCAAATGCTCCCCTGGCACTTCTAAAACATGCAAATGTGAGTAGATTAATAGGTACCGTTCCGGCAGGAAGGTAATGTCGCTCCATGCAGTTATGCCAGCCATATGACCTTGGAGGTGTCTATGGACAACGCCGGCTCTTCGGCTTAGAAATGGAGATGAGCACCAACCCCCAGAGTCGGACATGACTAGATTTAATGTCAGGGGAAAAGCTTTACATTTACTATTATGAATAACATAACAAGGTACTAGGTTGCTGTGAGTTTTCCGGGCTTTCTGGCCATGTCCCAGAAGCATTTTGTCCTGACCTTTCACCCACATTTATGGCCAGCATCCTCAGAGGTTGTGAGGTCTCACAACCTCTGAGGATGTTTGACATAAATGCGAGTGAAACATCAGGAGAGAATGTTTCTGGAACATGGCCAGACAACCCAGAAAACTCACAGCAACTCAGTGATTCCAGTCATGAAATCCTTCGACAACACATAAGAACAAATACATATTATCAATAATAATAATAATAATAATAAGGCCACCTTACTTGGATCTGCGCGCATCATTCGAAAATACATCACTCAGTCCTAGATGCTCGGGAAGTGTTCGACTTGTGATTTTGTGATACGAAATCCAGCATATAGATCTCATTTGCTGTGTCATACTGTGTTTGTGTCAGTAAAATAATAATAATAATAATAATAATAATAATAATAATAACAGGGACTTGCAATTTAAGAACAAATACAAATACATATTGTGATTATTATTAATAACTAGCTTGGGGACCCGGCGCTGCCCGGGTTATTTGAGAAAAGCATTGTTTGTTTTGTGAAGTTTGGTAATATCAGTTTGCTAATGTGTAATGCTATTTCTTAGGGGAAAACAGTCTTACTTTTTTGGGTTGTTTTAAAAAATGAATGGTCTCATTAGAAAATGCATAAGGTTGTAGGTGAACTACAATTTCCAGAATCGTGGGTCAGTCCTTTCCAAACCCTGCCATTACTTAAAGTTGGCCATGTTGGGTCTGTGTGTCAAGTTTAGTCCAGATCTGACAGCAGCTGGGTTCAGTGATATCTAGATAAGGGTGAACTACAACTCCCAGATCTCCAGGGCAATCACCCCCAAGCCCAGCCAGTATGCACAATTGGCCATGTTGGTTCTGTGTGGCAAGTTTGGCCCAGATCCATTGTTGGCTGGGTTCACTGTTCTTTGGATAAGGGTGAACTACAAATCCCAGGGTAATCACCCCTAAACTCTGCAAGTATGGACAATTGCCCATGGTGGGTCTGTGTGCCAAGTGAGTTCCAGCTCTATTGTTGGTGCAGTTGAGAATGCTCTTAGATTGCAGGTGAACTATGCATCCCAGTCCCTACAACTATAAATCATGGTGATTTCTCTCCAAACGTCTCCAGTATGATCAGTTGCAGATCAATGCCTCTGTTTGCTGTGTTCCATAGGAAAGGGTTGGAAAGGGATAAGGGAGAAGCAGTGGGTGGGGTCATGCAAATGAAGAGAGAAAGGAACACTGGGATGTGCTCGCTATAACCTGCAATGTCCTTCGACAGAGTGGCTTGCTGTCTTCTCAGCACTGGGAACAATAGCCTATTTGTGGAGGCCAAAGGCTGTCTGTGTGAACAGACACCTATGCCACATACACACATACAGATTTTCACTTTTATTATGTGTATAGATAGTCATGATTGGCATTCAAAGTAGCTTACAATTTAGAAACAAATGCATAATATTTTAATAGTAACTGAAACTCAAAGGTGGCTGACAAGTTAAAAGCAAATGCATAGCATCTTGACAATAACAATAGTAATTGGGACTCAAAAATGGTTGGCAATTTAAGAACAGATACATATTATTATTATTATTAATATACATATACTTATTATTATTATTAGGATTCAAAGTGGATGGCAATTTAAGAAGAAATAAATATTATCATTAATCATAATTGGTTCTCCAGTGGATTGCAATGTAAACAGAAATACATACCGTATATACTTGAATATAAGCCGACCCAAATATAAGCCGAGGCACCTAATTTTACCACAAAAACTGGGAAAATGTATTGCCTCAAATATACGCCGAGGGTGGGAAATGCAGCAGCTACTGATCAATTTCAAAATAAAACTAGAGACCAATAAAATTACATTAATTGAGGTACCAGCAGGTTAAATGTTTTTGAATATTTACATAAAACTGTAATGTAAAACTGTCCAGCTCTGATAAAACCATTATTCTAGACTCCTTCAGTATAAATGTGCTTACGTATCCTTCCAATAATAATAAAGAGAGCAAAATAATAGATGTAATAAATAGAGTCAAATAATAAATGTAATAAAAATAATAGAGTAAAATAATGCAAATGCTATAACATCAATAATAACAGAGTAAATAATGAATGTAATAAAAATAATAAAAGAGTAATAACATAAATATAATAAAAATAATACTAATAACAGAGTAAAATAATAAATAACCTTGGCTCAAGTATAACCCGAGGGGAGCTTTTTCAGCCTAAAAAGGGGTCTGAAAAACTGGGCTTATACTCGGGTATATACAGTATTATTGTTGTTATTATTAATAATGTTATAATTTAGGATGCAAGGCAGCTTCCAGTTTACAACCCTAGGCTGTGAATTGCAAGGAAAACCATCTAATTCCCTTTTTCTTTTTCTTTTTTACATTTTTTAGCCCGGAACCATAGAGCAAGCTGTGAACGAGATCCGGGTGGTAGTGATGCCCACGGAAGATGGCGAGGTCCAAAGCGTGTGGTTGCTGACGGAGTAAGTAAGAGATCTAAGTGACGAACGCGATGTGTCTTTTGCTTTGGCGATGCCCATTTAACCTCACAAGCAAAATCCCCCACACAGAAATCTTGTGATCTGCCAGGAGAAGAAAGACCCTGGTCCTTCTCCCGTAGGCACTTCAAAAGGGAGAAGCTGGCCATATGTTGCTTAAATGGAACCTAAGAGCAGTAAACATTCTCTACTTTTGGTGGCATGCCCAGCCTAGGAACCAGACTGACCTGTTTTCTCCAAGGAAGGAAAGCTTTCCAGGAAAGCCCACCTCTCATAATATTATTTCCGGCTCCTACGAATAAGAATTCATCCTTCTTTGCTCTTTATGTCAGATTCCTGGATCTAAGCATTGACCAAACACACCTTTTGGTGCCACAAGGTTTAGTCCTGTTTCTGGGTAATTTCAACTGCTGATTCAACTCTAGTTTTTGAGCTACAGAATGTTAAAGCATCAACCAGTCACCCATAGAAGCCAATGTTTGTAATATCTAAGACACTAGAGCTGATGGGGTTTTCTGAGTGGGTGCCCCAAAGAAAGAAATCCAAGAACAGGCCTGTTGTTCCGCATGAAGACCCTCACTGTTTACCCCTAGTTAAGCCCTTTTAGTTAGAGCAGTGTTTCTCAACCTGGGGGTCGGGACCCCTGGGAGAGTCACAAGGGGGTGTCAGAAGGGTCGCCAAAGAACATCAGAAAACACAGTATTTTCAGTTGTCAAGGGGGTTCTGTGTGGGAAGTGTGGCCCAATTCTCTTGTTGGTGGGGTTCAAAATTCTATTTGATTGTAGATGAACTATAAATTCCAGCAACTACAACTCTCAAATGTCAAGGTCTATTTTCCCCGGTGTTCACATTTGGGCATATTGAGTATTCATGCCAAGTTTGGCCCAGATCCATCATTGTTTGAGTCCACAGTGCTGTCTGGATGTAGGTGAACTACAACTCCCAATCTCAACGTCAATGCCCACCAGGCCCTTTCAGTATTTTCTGTTGGTCATGGGAGTGCTGTGTGCCAAATTTGGTTCAATTTCATTGTTGGTGGAGTTCGGAATGTTCTTTGATTGTAGGTGAACTATAAATCTCAGCAACTACAACTCCCAAATGGCAAAATCAATCCCTCCCCCAGCCCCACCAGTATTCAAATTTGGGTGTATTGGGTATTTGTGCCAAATTTGGTCCAGTGAATGAAAATACATCCTGCATATCAGATAGTTACTTTACAATTCGTAACAGTAGCAAAATTACAATTATGAAGTAGCAATGAAAATAATGTTATGGTTGGGGATCACCACCACATGAGGAACTGTATTAAGGGGTCACAACATTAGGAAGGTTGAGAAATACAGAGTTAGAGGGAATAATATTTTATGTACAGTTTCTGGGGGGTCAGGCTTTGCATTTGAAGCCTCTGTCTCCCTTCCACTTTAATAATCCCCTTGAGGGTGGAGCCTCATGAAAGGCACTTCTGGTTCTTGGAAGTGTCAGCCTTTTCATGACTGGAAGGTGATCAGAAAGGAATTCTGGAAGGGCTACAAATAGCATGTCCGGTTAGAGCTGTATTCAAGTCCAGTCAGAGCTTTTGTTGTAGAGAAGCCACCAGAATGGCACAACCTGGGGATCACAACCAGACACAGTGAAGACATCTGCCCTTGCGCTATGCTACTCTGCTGTTGAGTATGCATGCCCAGTGTGGAACACATCTCACCACACTAAAACAGTGGATGTGGCTCTTAATGAGACATGCCGCATTATCACGGGGTGTCTGCGCCCTACACCACTGGAGAAATTACACTGTTTAGCCGGTATTGCAACACCTGACATCTGCTGGGAAGTAGCAGCCAATAGTGAAAGGACCAAGGCAGGGACATCTCCAGCTCATCCCCTGTTTGGGTATCAGCCAGAACGTCAACGACTTCAATCTAGAAATAGTTTTCTAAGATCTACAGAGACGCTCGCTGGAACACCTCAGCAAGCGAGAGTCCAAAAGTGGCAGGCTCAAACTCAGAACCTCAAACTTAGAACCTCAATCAATCGGTCACAGGAGCCAGAAACAACATCCTTAGATAAGGGATCGAGTGAAGACGAATTAACAGAAATACCAAATGAGAGACTCCCCCCTGGGCACACAGAATACTGGGCGACTTGGAAGGCGCTGAACAGACTGCACTCTGGCACCGCGAGATGCAGAGCCAACCTTAAGAAATGGGGCCACAAAGTGGAGTCCATGACATGCGAGTGTGGAGAAGAGCAAACCACTGACCACCTGCTACAATGCAACCTGAGCCCTGCTACATGCACAATGAAGGACCTCCTTGCGGCAACACCAGAGGCACTTCAAGTGGCCAGCTATTGGTGAAAGGACATTTAATCAACTACCAAGCTTGCAAACTTTGTGTTTTCTCTGTCTGTTTGTTAAAAAATGCAACGCAACTGTAAGTAAGAGCACCTAGAGCTTCGGAGAGCTTCTGTTCAACCATCTCAAAGCTCCCTGTTTGAGCGGTAATTGCACGATCATCAGCATAGATGAAACTTTCTGTCCCTTCTGGCAGTGGCTGGTCATTTGTGTAGATGTTGAACATGGATGGAGCAAGCACGCTCCCCTGAGGCAGGCCGTTCTTCTGTTTCCGCCATCTGCTTCTCTGGCCCTGAAACTCAACAAAAAAGCTCCTGTTTTGTAGCAGGTGTCCTATGAGGCGGGTGAGGTGGTCGTCCTTTGTGTTCAGTGCAGTTAAACAGCATTATATGCGCCTGATTCGGCTTCTTCCCCCCTCTCTCTAGGATCGACCACTGGAACAATGAAAAGGAGCGCTTGGTCCTGATCACCGATTGGTCCCTGTTGATTTGTAAGTACGACTTTATCAGCCTGCAGTGCCAGCAAGTGACCCGGATTTCGCTCAACGCAGTGGATACCATTTCTGTCGGGGAGTTCGAGTTTCCTCCTAAGTCGCTGAACAAGTGAGTGCTGCGTTTGCGTTTGATGTTTTGCTCTGCCCCCATTGTCCTTTGAATCGCGCGAATATCCTAAAGAATAAAAATTAGAATCATCACAATGGAAAGGACTCCAAGGGACATCCAATCAAACAGGAAAAGCACAATCAAAGCACCCCTGACAGATGGCCAAAAGCAGAAGAGAGGGACATGACCTCCCTTGATCTGGACACTAGACTTCTGATGTAGCCCAAAATCCCATAGGCTTTTTTTTTAGTTGCTGCATGTGTTGTAGCCTAGCATCCACAACAGTCAGGGGCTGATGGGTTCACTGATTATTCAGACTCAGAAAGGGTTGTGGGATTTCCTGGGATTCAAAGTGATACAGGCGAAGGGAATGAAATTGCCTCAGGTAGTGTTGTAGGCCAAGAGAGTGCAATTGCCTCAGACAGTGCTGAGCTCCAAGGCCATTCACGGGAGCCAGAAACAACATCCTTAGATAAGGGGTCGAGTGAAGACGAATTAACAGAAAACTCTCAAAAGAAAACGCCTGGTGGTAACAAGGATCTCCATTTGCAGATTAGGGCAGCTCCATAGATCAACAAGGTTAAGTTGGAAAAAGATAAGAGAAAGTTTATGGGAAATGACTTCATGTCTGCTTATTAACAACCAGTTGTTTATCCTAAAATCAGTTCAGGCAACATTGGTGTTCGAGGGAGAACCTAAGCCTGAGTTCTTGTCTCAAGTCAAGTCCTCTTTTTGGATTGAAGTATCTTGGAAGGTTTTTATAATCTTGCTTCATGATTCTTGCTCAAGCTTTCTAAGGGAGATCTGGTGCTTATGGATTTAGGCTGTATTTGTGACGTTGGCTATTCTGGGACAGCGTGAATTTTGGATTTTCACGAGACATTGGCAATCCTGTGTGGTTATCGCCTACTAAATCTGTTTTGGATTATTCCTCTTCTTTATTGATTCCTGCTTTTTTTCCATATATTTTACGTGTTTTTACAGTAAGCCCTTTGTTTATACTCTGGAGTCTTGTGTGGTGATTGACAGAGTTTGGCGGTGCACAGGAGAAGGATTGCTAGATCAGCAGACACTGTGTTGCAAAATAAGGACTCTGCAGGCTTTAAGTTACAAAAGAAACTAAGTTTACTAAGCACATTCAATTGACACGTCTTACTACAGCGAGCTACAATACAGGAACTAGTCAAAACGAAAGTCTCTTCACATCTGCTTATCTCTTCTTGCTGAGACTAGTTACTCCCTTCTGTTCCCAGCAAGAGCAAACATTATCTTACTTGTATTGTCGAAGGCTTTCATGGCTGGAATCCCTAGGTTCTTGTGGGTTTTTTCGGGCTATAGGGCCATGTTCTAGAGGCATTTCTCCTGTCATTTCGCCTGCATCTATGGCAAGCATCCTCAGAGGTAGTGAGGTCTGTTGGAATTAGGACACCGGGTTTATATATCTGTGGAATGGCTGGGGTGGGGCAAAGAGCTTTTCTCTGCTGGAGCTAGGTGTGAATGTTTCAACTGACCACCTTCATTAGCATTTGAAGGCCTGGCTGAGCCTGGGAAAATATTTTGTTGAGAGGTGTTAAGATGTGCCTGGTTATCTTACTTTTCTCAAGGTTACATAATCACAGCCTGATGGAATAAACATTCTGCACAGCATTTCTAATACACAGTGGAATCCATCTTGGAAATACATAGAAGCACATTTAAAACACACATAACTAAATTGATCCTGACAGTGATGAGGTCTAGGTGGCTCCAGGCTTGGGGTGCAACAGCATCACACTGTTGGCTCCTGCTCAACTTGTTGTCTCCTCTATTCTGCCTTGGTTAGACCACACCTGGAATATTGTGCCCAATTCTGGGCACCACAATTGAAGAAAGATATTGACAAGCTGGAAAGTGTCCAGAGGAGGGCGACTCAAATGATCAAGGGTTGGAGAACAAGCCCTATGAGGAGTGGCTTCAAGAGCTGGGCATGTTTAGCTTGAAGAAGAGAAGGCTGAGAGGAGATATTATTTATTTATTTATTTATTTATTTATTTCGGGCACTTCTACCCCGCCCTTCTCAACCCCCAAGGAGGGACTCAGAGCGGCTTACAACCGGCACAATTCGATGCCAACAATTCAACAGATAAAATACATAACAGCAATAGCCACAATCGTTAAAAACAATCAATTAATACAATAACAATTAAGAGCCAATCTAGTGGCCAACGTTCACAGAGTTCTAAAATCCGTAAGTCCATTCAGCATTACCATAGTCCTTTCCAAATTCTGGTCGTCATTACCTTGTCAGTCTGCCAGATTACCCAAAGTCCTGGTCCCATATCCATGTATTCAGCTTCCTTCTGAAGGAGAGGAGGGATGTTGATGACCTAATTTCCCCGGAGAGTGAATTCCACAGGCGAGGGGCCACCACTGAGAAGGCCCTGTCCCTCGTCCCTACCAGCCTCACTTGTGATAGAGGCGGGGCCGAGAGCAGGGCCTCCCCAGAAGATCTTAAACTCCAAGGTGGGACAAAGAAGGAGATATGTTCGGACAGGTATGCTGGGCCGAAGCCGTATGATATGATAGCCATGTATAAATATGTGAGAGGAAGTCACAGGGAGGAGGGAGCAAACTTGGATGTGGAACAATGGCTTCAAACGACAAGAAAGGAGATTCCATCTGAACATGAGGAAGAACTTCCTGACTGTGAGAGCCGTTCAGCAGTGGAACTCTCTGCCCCGGAGTGTGGTGGAGGTGCCTTCTTTGGAAGCTTTTAAACAGAGGCTGGATAGCCATCTGTCAGGGGTGTTTTGAATGCACTATTCCCATAATATACAAACAGCATAGCAAAATAGTGTCTCTTATATAAAACTAGCTGTCCCCTTCCACACGTTGCTGTGGTCCAGTCTGTGTATATGTGTTTTATTTACTTATTTATTTATTTACTTTGCTTATATACCGCTGTATCTCAAGCCCGAAGGCGACTCACAGCGGTTCACAAACAGTAAAAACAGTAGAAACAGCAGTGGTTCCATACAACATATAACAACACATTATCCATAAATTACCAATAAGCAATTACAATGCACAATTATTACAAAAAACAACCGTACCCAATCTTCTCATCATCCAAGCGTAGTCCAAGTTCGTCGTCCATTGTTCCATTCCTATGTTCCATTACCAGATTGCACTAAATTACTCAAACGCCTGCACAAACATCCAGGTCTTCAACTTTCTTCGGAATGCCATGAGAGATGGCGCCAGCCTAATGTCTGTAGGAAGGGCGTTCCACAGCCGAGGAGCCACCACCGAGAAGGCCCTATCTCTCGTCCCCGCCAACCGTGCTTGAGAAGCCGGCGGGATCGAGAGCAGGGCCTCCCCGGAAGATCTCAAAGTCCTGGTGGGTTCATAGGCCGAGATGCGGTCGGAAAGGTATCTTGGGCCGGAACTGTTAAGGGCTTTATAGGCCAATGCCAACACCTTGATTTGAGCCCGGTAGCAAATCGACAGCCAATGGAGCTGGCGCAACAGGGGGGTTGTGTGCTCCCTGCGCTCCGCTCCTGTTAGAATCATGGCTGCCGCACGTTGGACTAATTGAAGCTTCCGGGCCGTCTTCAAGGGCAGCCCCACGTAGAGAGCGTTGCAGTAGTCTAGGCGGGATGTGACAAGAGCGTGGACTACCGTGGCCAAGTCAGGCTTCCCAAGGTACGGGCGCAGCTGGCGCACAAGTTTTAACTGTGCAAATGCTCCCCTGGTCACCGCTGACACCTGGGGTTCCAGGCTCAGCGATGAGTCCAAGATCACACCCAAGCTGCGAACCTGTGTCTTCAGAGGGAGTGCGACCCCATCCGTATATATTTTTGTGTATATGTGTATATATGTGTGTCTGTGTATATATGTGGTTTTGTGCATACATTGTAATGTATTTTTTAGTTTTTGGCCTTTTAACTGTCTTCTGTTGTGTTTTTCAGAGTTTTTATGCGTGATTAGCCATCCCCTGCCATGCATTGCTGTGGCCCAGTCTGTGTATATGTGTTTTGTGTGCATATATATTTGTGTATATGTGTATTTGCATATATATGTGTGTGTGTGGTTTTGGGCATGCATTGTAATGTATTTTTTGGTTTTTGGCCTTTTAACTGTCTTCTGTTGTGTTTTTCAGAGTTTTTATGCATGATTAGCCATCCCCTGCCATGCATTGCTGTGGCCCAGTCTGTGTATATGTGTTTTGTGTGCATATATATTTGTGCATATGTGTATTTGCATATATATGTGTGTGTGTGGTTTTGCGCATGCATTATAATGTATTTTTACTTCTTGGCTTTTTAGGTCTCTTCTGCTGTGTTTTTATGAGTGATGGTCACTCGTTAGCCTAATAGGTGTCTTGTGTCCAAATTTGGTGTCAATTCCCCCAGTGGTTTTTGAGTTCTGTTAATCCCACAAACGAAAATTGCATTTTCATTTATATAGATAGTAAACTCGTGGTTTGCTTTTGGGATTTTGTTTGGGGGAGGGGAGTGAATATTTTAAATCCATGGACACAGATCATTGACGTCATTTGCTTTCTACAAACTTGTTTTTTGGAAGCTTCGTGGGAAGCATATGTAGGACTGTCGATTTCAAACGACACCTTGGTTGGGAATACGACTTCCTGTAACAGTCCGATAATTCCTATAAACTCACAAAAGCTTTGGGTCTCCTTTTCCTTCAGGAGAGAAGGCACTGGGATTCGAATCCAGTGGGACAAGCAAAGCCGTGCCTCCTTTGTAAACAGATGGAACCCATGGGCCACAAACGTGCCCTACGCCACCTTCACAGAGCACCCCATGGCCAATGCGGATGAGAAGATTGCATCTCTTTGCCAAGTAAGGCTTTGTCCTCGTATGGGTTGTTACTAGTCCTTTCGTTAGAAAGTCCAAAACCAAACGATAAGACATTACTTACCCAGCAATGCCCAGGTTAGGTCTTTAAAGGTAAAGGTTTCCCCTTGACATTAACTCTAGTTGAGTCCAACTCTGTGGGGTGGTACTAATCTCCATTTCTAAGCTGAAGAGCCAACGTTGTCCATAGACATCTTCTAGGTCATGTGGCCGGCATAACTGCATGGACCGCCATTTCCTTCCCGCTGGAGTGAAAGGATCTACTCACATTTGTATGTTTTCGAAGTTCTAGGTTGGCAAAAGCTGGGGCTAACAACAGGAGCTCACTCCGAAGCTTGGTGGGCAAAAGTGCCAGGTTGGCAAAAGCTGGGGCTAACAACAGGAGCTCACTTCAAACTGCCGACCTTCCAATCAGCAAGTTCTGCAGATTAGCAGTTTAACCTGCTGAGGCCCCTTTATTAGGTCTTTAGTAATGATAAATTTTGGAAGTAGTTTTTTTTTGGGGGGGGGGGGGGGGGGGGGGGGTTTGTTGTAGGTTTTTTTGGGCTGTATGGCCATGTTCTAGAGGCATTCTCTCCTGACGTTTCGCCTGCATCTATGGCAAATTTTGGAAGTAGGGGGGTTTTTTTTGGCGGGGGGGGGGGTTGTTGTAGGTTTTTTCGGGCTATATGGCCATGTTCTAGAGACATTCTCTCCTGACGTTTTGCCTGCATCTATGGCAAGCATCCTCAGAGGTAGTGAGGTCTATTGGAACTAGGAAAATGGGTTTATATATCTGTGGAATGACCAGGGTGGGACAAAGAACTCTTGTCTGTTGGAGCTAGGTGTGAATGTTTCAACTGACCACCTTGATTAGCATTTGATGGCCTGGCAGTGCCTTGGGCAATCTTTTGTTGAGGTGATTAGTTTGGGGTTTTTTGCGAGGGGAGGGGGTGTGGTTGAGGGTCCTGTTAGAAAGTGTTCTAATGATGCTAGTTACTTAACAATCACCATCATCCTGGGTCAATTCCCCCCAAATACCACAAGTGTTCAAAGTTGACCATGCTGGGTCTGCATGCCAAGTTTGGTCCAGATCCATTGCCATTTGGGTTCAGGTGCTCTCTGGATGCGAATGAACTACAACTCCCAAAATTCAGGGTCGATCCCACCCCCACCCACCCAGTCCCCTCTATTATGTTCTAAAAAAGGACTTTAGAAACAAAGCGCCAGCGCTCTCTACTTTTGAACACAGTTTCGAAGCAGTTTTTTTTGGATCGCACATGCCTACTGTTATGTATTGTTTGTCCTTGTTAATTGTATAACAGCACTGAATGTTTGCCATATATGTGTTGTGTAAGCCACCCTCAGTCCCCTCGTGGAGATAGAGTGGAATATAAATAAAGTATATTATTATTATTATTATTATTATTATTATTATTATTATTATTATTACTACTACTACTACTACTACTACTACCACTACTACTAGCTGTACCCGCCACGCGTTGCTGTGGCCAACCTTCCCTCCTTCTTTCTCTCCTTCCCTCTTTCCTTCCTTTCCTCTTTTTCTTTCCCTATTTCTCTTCTTTCTTCCATCCCTGTTTCTTTCCTCCCTTTCTTTGCTCTTTGGTTACATCCTTCCCTCTCTCCTTCCTTCCTTCCTTCCTTCCTTCCCTTCTTCTTCCTTCTTCCTTCTTTCTTCTTTTCCTTTCACTTTTTTATTTCCTTCTCTCCTTCCTTGCTTCTCTATCTTTCTTTCCTTCTTTCCCTCCCTCCTTCTCTCCTTCCTTCCTTCCCTCTTTCCCTCCTTCTCTCGTTACTTCTTGACCGTCCCTTCCATTTAATATTGTATTTATATCTTACATAGAAAGAAGGAAAGGAAGAAGGAAGGAGGGACAGGAAGGAAGGAAGGAAAAAGGAAGGGAGGGAGGGAAAGAAGGGAAGGAAGGAAAAGAAAGAAGGAGGGACAGGAAGGGAGGGAGGAAGGAAGGGAAAGAAAGGAGGGGGGAGAAAGGAGGGAGGGAAGGAAATGAAGGGGAAGGAAATGGAAGGAAAGGAGGAGGAAAGGGAGGAGGAGAAGAAGGAAGGAGGAAGGAAGGAGGGACAGGAAGGAAGGAAAAAGGGAGGGAGGGAGGGAAAGAAGGGAAGGAAGGAAAAGAAAGAAGGAGGGACAGGGAGGGAGGAGGAGGAAGGAAGGAAGAAGGAAGGAGGGAAAGAAAGGAGGGGGATGAAGAAAGGAGGGAGGGAAGGAAATGGAAGGGGAAGGAAATGAAGAAAGGGAAAGAAGGAGGAAAGGAAGGGAGGGAGGGAGGAAAAGAAGGAAAGGAAGAATGAAGGAGGGACAGGAAGGAAGGGAAGGAGGGAGAAGGAAGGAAGAAAAGGAAAGAAAGGGAGGAAGGAAGGAGAAGGAGGAAAGAAGGGAAGGGAGTGAGGGAGAGAAGAAAAGTCCTTCACTCAAGCACCGTCGACCTTCCTCGCTTCCTCCTCCTCGTCCCCTTCTTCCTTGCCTGGGGGCTCCGCTGCTGCCGCTGCCACTCATCCGCCCCTTCCTCTTCCAACAGGGAAAGGAGGAGGAGGAGGAGGCTGCCCTCCTGACATAGCAGGGAAAGAGAAGGGGCTCCATGTGGCAAGCCTCCACCTCCACTCCCATGGTGCCCATTCTGGCTTGTGTGTGTGTATGTGTGGCCGTGCATGTGCGCCTGGCTCCTCATGCTTTAACGGCTGGCTATTTCTTCGTGAGGAGGAGGGGGGGCATGGCCATGGCTCTCTTTCTTGGTATGCAGTTTCTCCTTTGTGGACACACAGTTTAGAAGTCCTTTTAGAAGGACATACATTGGCCTGATAGCTGTATCGTGTCCAAATTTGGTGTCAATTCCCCCAGTGGTTTTTGAGTTCTGTTAATCCCACAAAGGAACATTACATATTTTATTTATATAGATTACAATTTCTACGCCCATGTTTGTGTTTCATAGTTGGAGAACTTCAAGACGCAGCTGATCCAAGCCGTGAAGAAGGCCCACAAGGAGTGCCCTCTCCCCGGGAGAGCCAATGGGGTCCTGCTCCTGGAGCGCCCACTCCTCATCGAGACCTATTTGGGGCTGATGTCTTTCATCAACAACGAGGCCAAGCTAGGCTACTCCATGACGAGGGGCAAAATCGGGTTCTGAAAGGCGATGGAGATGGCGGAGGGGCGGACATTGTCTAGAAAATCCCCAGAAGATAATTTGGGGAGAGAAGCATGTAGAGGACTTTCCCCGTTTATCCCACAGATGGGTCAACACAAGACAGCGGGAGTGATTGACTTCAGTTCGGAATTAAACTCGCTGTCGCCACTTTGTAATTTTTTATTTTCTTTGTTCATTTTCTCTATTTGTGTGCATCTCCGGTGAGTTCCTGAGCACGTCCTTCCTTTGACAGAAACATCCTGCGATCGCCAACTTATGTATGTTCGCAATTCCATTATGTTTCGGCAGGTTGTGAGCTGTTGTGCCCAGTGTGACTTGTTTTGCTTCCGTTTGAGTGATTTTTCGTACATTTTTCAAGTTTGAAATAGTTTTTTGCCCTTGCAAGAACCTTACACAGCACAGCGTCTCATTTTACGATGAGTTTTTGCCATAGAGGATCAAATTTTTCTACCAAAAAAAACGGGCATTTGGGATTACTTTATACTTTTTTAAATACAGTCTAAACGAATAGCACCAAAGTTTCACATAAAGGATTGCGAGGGGAAAACTAGAGTTAAATTTGTTTCAACCCCTTATACGGAGATAGTGATGTTGCACTGTCGCATGTAGGCCTTATAGCTGGGATCCCATCAGCCATGTGGGAGATATATACATATATAGTATTATTCGTGGTTGCTTAAGCACCCAAGGACTTGTCTAGATTGTCCACCATTAAGGGCAGAAAAGCAACCCATCCGTTTTCCTCGTGTGCATTGCATGAGTTTCCTGTGGATCCCAGTCAATGTCTCTTCTTTACAGAGTTCGTCTTTCTACAAAGCTGCTGTTTAGGATAAATCTCTGCTATTCTCACGGAAATGATGATAATCCAACATTTGATAGTGCTTGCTCTCTATGAAAGGTGTATTTCCTCTTTCCCGCTCAGATTTTTTCTGTAAAATGTTGCTGCAGTGCAACCGATAGCATGTCGGGGTTTGGGCTGTTGGAAGTTCCTGTGTATTCAAAGCTTAATAAACACAGCTAAATGTGAAGCGGAGAATCGCCGGGAAATTAATGCCGTTTGCCAGTAAGAAGGATTTGTTTCAGTCTTTCCATTCCTCCTGCTTTTGTCCTCCAAGTAAGGGATACATACTAGGGTTGCTCATTCGGGGTAAACCTTGACCCTTTTCGTGTCCCGGCTTTCAGTGGGGGCCCCAATCCACTTCTGGGAGCCTCTCAAAATTGGGAGGGCAGATACCTGTTTTCTATCAGCCCATTATGGGGGGGGGGGGCTTCCTGAGGTTCCCCTTCCCATCATTTTAGGCATTTCAGCTGTTTTACTCTAGAGGAGAGGTGCTCAGCTGCAGGCAGGCACGCACTTTAAGGAGTCTTCCTACCTGTTTCTTACTCTAGAGGAGGCACTCAGTTGCTGGTGGGTGTGTGCTCTTTCTGGACCTGTACACCACACGAACTTTCGAAGGCAAAGGGGCAAGTTCTCTTAATCCAGAGGAGGCATTTGGCTGTAAGCAGGTGTGCATGCTTTCTAGGCCTGCACACCACACACACACACACACTGTTTCCAAGGCAAGGAAGCAAGTTCTCTTACTACAGAGGAGGCATTTAGCTGCAACCAGGCGTGCGCTTTCTGGGCCTGCACACACCACACACACACACAGTTTCCGAGGCAAGTTCTACTCCAGAGGAGGCATTTGGCTGCAAGCAGGCATGCACACTTTCTGGGCCTGCACACCACACACACACAGTTTCCAAGGCAAGTTCTCTTACTCCAGAGGAGGCATTTGGCTGCAAGCAGGCGTGCACACTTTCTGGGCCTGCACTCCACACACACACAGTTTCCAAGGCAAGTTCTCTTAGTCCAGAGGAGGCATTTGGCTGCAAGCAGGCGTGCACACTTTCTGGGCCTGCACACCACACACACACAGTTTCCAAGGCAAGTTCTCTTACTCCAGAGGAGGCATTTGGCTGCAAGCAGGCGTGCACACTTTCTGGGCCTGCACACCACACACGCACAGTTTCCAAGGCAAGTTCTCTTACTCCAGAGGAGGCATTTGGCTGCAAGCAGGCGTGCACACTTTCTGAGCCTGCACACCACACACACACAGTTTCCAAGGCAAGTTCTCTTAGTCCAGAGGAGGCATTTGGCTGCAAGCAGGCGTGCACACTTTCTGGGCCTGCACACCACACACGCACAGTTTCCAAGGCAAGTTCTCTTACTCCAGAGGAGGCATTTGGCTGCAAGCAGGCGTGCACACTTTCTGGGCCTGCACACCACACACACACAGTTTCCAAGGCAAGTTCTCTTAGTCCAGAGGAGGCATTTGGCTGCAAGCAGGCGTGCACACTTTCTGGGCCTGCACACCACACACACACAGTTTCCAAGGCAAGTTCTCTTACTCCAGAGGAGGCATTTGGCTGCAAGCAGGCGTGCACACTTTCTGGGCCTGCACACCACACACACACAGTTTCCAAGGCAAGTTCTCTTAGTCCAGAGGAGGCATTTGGCTGCAAGCAGGCATGCACACTTTCTGGGCCTGCACACCACACACACACAGTTTCCAAGGCAAGTTCTCTTACTCCAGAGGAGGCATTTGGCTGCAAGCAGGCGTGCACACTTTCTGGGCCTGCACACCACACACACACAGTTTCCAAGGCAAGTTCTCTTACTCCAGAGGAGGCATTTGGCTGCAAGCAGGCGTGCACACTTTCTGGGCCTGCACACCACACACACACAGTTTCCAAGGCAAGTTCTCTTAGTCCAGAGGAGGCATTTGGCTGCAAGCAGGCGTGCACACTTTCTGGGCCTGCACATCACACACACACAGTTTCCAAGGCAAGTTCTCTTAGTCCAGAGGAGGCATTTGGCTGCAAGCAGGCATGCCCGCTTTCTGGGCCTGCACACCACATACACACACAGTTTCCAAGGCGAGGAGGTAAATTATCTTACTCCAGAGGTGGCTCTCAGTCACAGGCAGGCGCTCGTGCTTTCTGGGCCTGCACACCACACACACCTACACTTTCCAAGGCGAGGAGGCATGGAGCGCCACAAAAAGCAGGCGAGGAGCTGGGATCAGCTCCCGCTTGCTTTCGTGTCAAGCTGATTTTTTTTTCGGCCGAGACTTCCCATTACATGCTTTCCAAGATAATGAAAGAACCGATTATTTGAAGGATCATCGGTTCTTTCATTGTTTTTATGCACAACCCTAAATACTGCCTCAAAGCCCAAAACCTTTTGGAAAATAACATAACCTTTTGGGAAAAGCATCTTTTAGAAAAGCATGCCCCTTCAGAGAAGAGCCAAAAACCCTTTGGAGTAGGATCTTCTCTTGTGGTATACAACCAGATATAATTATGCAAGGCCATGGTTTCAGTTGTTAAACTGAATAACCTGCTAGCTCTGGTCTGTTAGGGGAAAAAAAGATTTTCCAGTGCATAAAACCAGCAGAGATTTACAAGTTTTTTTTCAGTGCCCCAAATAAACATACTCTCCCATAAAACAACTTGTTTTCTATCATGCACTCAAGAGACAAAAATGAAGTAGACTTTGATAAAAAATAACATATTTGGTTTCCTCTCAACTTTTCATATGATACATGAAACTGCGAAATCACCTTGGCTAGAAGGGCAGTATCAGTTCGGAGAACCACCTTATCCTGTGGAAACTGCAAAGGTTTTTTCGGGCTGTATTGCCATGTTCTAGAGCAGTGGTTCTCAACCTGGGGGTCGGGACCCCTGAAGGGGTCGTGAGGGGGTGTCAGAGGGGTCGCCAAAGACCATCACAGACAGTATTCTCTGTTGGTAATGGGAGTTCTGTGTGGGAAGTTTGGCCTAATTCTATCGTTGGTGGGCTTCAGAATGCTCGTTGGTAGTAGGTGAACTATAAATCCCAGCAACTACAACTCCCAAATGCCAAGGTCTATTTTCCCCAAACTTCACCAGTGTTCACATTTGGGCATACTGAATATCCGTGCCAAGTTTGATCCAGATCCATCATTGTTTGAGCCCACAGTGCTCTCTGGATGTAAGCGAACTACAACTCTAAAACCCAAGGTCAATGCCCATCAAACCCTTCCAGTATTTTCTGTTGGTCATGGGAGAACTGTGTGCCAAGTTTGGTTCAAGTCCATTGTTGGTGTAGTTCAGAATGCTCTTTGAATGTAGGCGAACTATAAATCCCAGCAACTACAACTCCCAAATGTCAAAATCAATCCTCCCATCCCAACTCCACCAGTATTCAAATTTGGGCATATTGGGTATTTGTGCCAAATTTGGTCCAGTGAGTGAGAATACATCTTGAATATCAGATATTTACATAACGATTCATAACAGGAGCAAAATTACAATTATAAAGTAGCAACGAAAATAATTTAATGGCTGGGGGTCACCACAACATGAGGAACTGTATTAAGGGGTCGCCGCATTAGGAACGTTGAGAACCACTGTTCTAGAGGCATTCTCTACTGATGTTTCACCTGCATCTATGGCAAGCATCCCCAGAGGTTGTGAGGTCTGTTGGAACTAGAAAAATAGGTTTATATATCTGTGGAATGACCAAGGTGGGGCAAAGAACTCTTGTCTGTTGGAGCAAAGGACAAGAGGGATCCTCACACTTCTGCAGGAGTCTACTGTATACCATGCAGCTGTGGACAAGTCTATAGAGGGACCACCAAACGCAGCAGCACTGCCCAAACACGAATCAAGGAACATGGACTACTTCAACCAGAGAAGTCAGCCATAGCAGAACACCTGATGAACCAACCTGGACACAGCGTATTATTTGAGAACACAGAAATGCTGGACCACTCTCACAACCACCATGTCAGACTACACAGAGAAGCATTGAAATCCACAAGCATGTGGACAATTTCAACAGAAAGGAGGAAACCATGAAAATGAACAAAATCTGGCTACCAGTATTAAAAAAAAACTCTAAAATTACAAGAGCTAAACAACAGAAACAAACAAGGACATCTAATCACCTCTCAACAAAAGATTGCCCCAGACACTGCCAGGCCATCAAATGCTAATCAAGGTGGTCAGTTGAAACATTCACACCTAGCTCCAACAGACAAGAGTTCTTTGTCCCACCCTGGTCATTCCACAGATATATAAACCCATTTTCCTAGTTCCAACAGACCTCACTACCTTGCTATAGATGCAGGCGAAATGTCAGGAGAGAATGCCTCTAGAACATTGCCATATAGCCCGAAAAAAATGTACAACCCAGTGATTCCAGCCATGAAAGCCTTCGACAATACACACACACCAAAATGTATGTGTCTGCTCTGCAAAGTGTTAATAACAGACCTCACTACCTTGCTATAGATGCAGGCGAAACGTCAGGAGAGAATGCCTCTAGAACATTGCCATATAGCCCGAAAAAAACGTACAACCCAGTGATTCCAGCCATGAAAGCCTTCGACAATACACACACACCAAAATGTATGTGTCTGCTCTGCAAAGTGTTAATAACAGACCTCACTACCTTGCTATAGATGCAGGCGAAACGTCAGGAGAGAATGCCTCTAGAACATTGCCATATAGCCCGAAAAAAACGTACAACCCAGTGATTCCAGCCATGAAAGCCTTCGACAATACACACACACCAAAATGTATGTGTCTGCTCTGCAAAGTGTTAATAACAGACCTCACTACCTTGCTATAGATGCAGGCGAAACGTCAGGAGAGAATGCCTCTAGAACATTGCCATATAGCCCGAAAAAAACGTACAACCCAGTGATTCCAGCCATGAAAGCCTTCGACAATACACACACACCAAAATGTATGTGTCTGCTCTGCAAAGTGTTAATAACAGACCTCACTACCTTGCTATAGATGCAGGCGAAACGTCAGGAGAGAATGCCTCTAGAACATTGCCATATAGCCCGAAAAAAACGTACAACCCAGTGATTCCAGCCATGAAAGCCTTCGACAATACACACACACCAAAATGTATGTGTCTGCTCTGCAAAGTGTTAATAACAGACCTCACTACCTTGCTATAGATGCAGGCGAAACGTCAGGAGAGAATGCCTCTAGAACATTGCCATATAGCCCGAAAAAAACGTACAACCCAGTGATTCCAGCCATGAAAGCCTTCGACAATACACACACACCAAAATGTATGTGTCTGCTCTGCAAAGTGTTAATAACAGACCTCACTACCTTGCTATAGATGCAGGCGAAACGTCAGGAGAGAATGCCTCTAGAACATTGCCATATAGCCCGAAAAAAACGTACAACCCAGTGATTCCAGCCATGAAAGCCTTCGACAATACACACACACCAAAATGTATGTGTCTGCTCTGCAAAGTGTTAATAAATTTCAGCATCAATTTCCTTCTAAATGCCATTAATGAAAGAAGCGAGAAAAACTACATTGTTTTGAAATCTCAAGTCCCGTGGTATTTTTTTTTTGAGATGGAAGATGGTTTCTCAAAGCTTTAGCAAAAACAGTTTTTATTCAAGTTTATGAAAGCATCATGTTAAAAAATAAAAACACCGAAAACAACGATATTGCTTAAAGTGCATTCACAGTCATCACTCACTGCCTCACCTTCTTTTGCAGTCAAATTGCAAGTTTCTACACTGAACCGGATTCATTTGTCAGAGTAGTTTTCTGAACTTTTTTGTGGCTTGAACAAAAAACAATGCAGGGAAACAGGCATCTCTTTTTCCCACCACTTAGCTTTCCTAGTTGGGATCTTCCTCTGGTTTTTCCAGGTAACACATGCAGAAGTTGTCTTTGCTCAAGAGCGCCAGAGAGTTTCCGCTGGAGTGCCAGCAAAGCGAAGTCACCTGGAAGTCACCTGCAAAGACAGAAATGGAAGGAATGGGGACACTAGCTCTGACATCGGGTGGTTAAAACAAAGGTAAATTACATATTCAATCAAAAATAGACAGAAGTTCAACATTGGAAAGGGCCCCTGCCCAGCATCCCTATCCCATCCTTCACTCAAAAAATTGATTTTGTCATTTGGGAGTTGTAGTTTCTGGGATTTATAGTTCACCTACAATCAAAGAGTATTCTGAACCCCACCAACGATGGAATTGAACCAAACTTGGCACACAGTTCTCCCATGACCAACAGAAAATACTGGATGGGTTTGGTGGGCAGTTCCCTTTGGTTTTGGAGTTGTAGTTCACCTACATCCAGAGAGCACTGTGCACTCAAACACTGATGGATCTGGACCAAACTCTACACAAATACTCAATATGCCCAAATGTGATCACTGGTGGAGTTTGGGGAAAACAGAATCTTGACATTTGGGAGTTGTAGTTGCTGGGATTTATAGTTCACCTACAATCACAGAGCATTCCGAACCCCACCAACAATAGAATTGGGCCAAACCTCCCACACAGAACCCCCACATGGGCCACAGCAACGCGTGGCAGGGGACGGCTAGTCACATATAAACATTAACCAATAAACAATAATACACAAGGATTTAAAAACCTATGGCCGGGTCAAATGTAATAGTTTAAAATTTAAAAAATAAACGCTGGGCATGAACAAGGTAGGATATATCTGGTATAGGGTTTTAAAAGAGACAAGGGAGCGCAGTCCATCCTAAACCAGTAGTAAAGTGCATTCTGAGGACATATTGCTGGGAATTTTCCTTATTCTGGGAAGGCACACTGGAACAACCACGTTTTCAGGCTCCTCCTAAAGACTGCCAATATTGGGGCATGTCTTAGGTCCTTGGGAAGTGAGTTCCAGAGTCGGGGAGCCACCACCGAGAAGGCCCTCTCCCTCATCCCCAACAATTGCACCTGCGAAGGAGGCGGGAGCGTAAGCAGGGCCTCTCCAGATGATCGAAGAGATCGTGTGGGTTCGTACACAGAAATGCAGTCACGCAGGTAGGCGGGTCCCAAACCGTTCAGGGTTTCGTAGGTAAGAAACCCTCCTACCAGATATATCCTACCTTGTTCATGCCCAGCATTTATTTTTTTAATTTTAAACTATTACATTTGGCCCGGCCACAGGTTTTTAAATCTTTGTGGGTTATTGTTTGTATGTGATTTATATTAATTGTATTGTTTTTGTTTATTGCTTTCTTGTTTTATTGATGTGTTGTTGGGCTTGGCCTCATGTAAGCCGCTCCGAGTCCCTTGGATAGACTCGGACTTGGATAGACTCGGCGGTGGCTGGGAGAGCTTTTGCGCAATTAAAACTTGTGCACCAGTTGCGCCCGTACCTTGGGAAGTCAGATCTGGCCACGGTGGTCCACGCTCTTGTTACATCCCGAATAGACTACTGCAACGCTCTCTACGTGGGGTTGCCCTTGAAGACTGTTCGGAAACTTCAACTAGTCCAACGAGCAGCAGCCAGGCTGCTCACCAGAGCGACATACAGGGAGCACACCACCCCCCTGCTGTGCCAGCTCCACTGGCTGCCAGTTCAGTTCCGAGCACAATTCAAGGTGCTGGTTTTGACCTACAAAACCCTGTACGGTTCCGGTCCAGTGTATCTGTCCGAACGTATCTCCCTCTACGTCCCACCCCGGAGCCAGAGAACATCTGGGGAGGCCCTGCTCTCGACCCCACCACTGTCACAAGTGAGGCTGGTGGGGACGAGGAGCAGGGCTTTCTCAGTGGTGGCCCCTCACCTGTGAAACTCACTCCCGAGGGAAATCAGGGCATCATCATCCCTCCTCTCCTTCAGGAGGAGGGTGAAGACGTGGTTATGGGACCAGGCCTTTGGGCAATCTGACAAATAAGACCATCAGACGAATAAGACCAACAGGACTGACGAAGTGGAATTGAAAACTAGAACTATGAGATAGCGAACACTGACCGTGTAGGAGGAGGAATTGGATTTGTATTGGTTTTATTGATATTATTGGTATATGGCATGAATTGTTGTTAACTGTGAATTTGATGTAATTTTGTGTTTGATTGTTTTGTGATGCGGGCATCGAATTGTGCCTTTGCTTTTGTAAGCCGCCCTGAGTCCCCCTCGGGGTGAGAAGGGCCGGGTAAAAGAAACCAAAATAAATAATAAATAAACTTGGGTAGATGGTGACGGGGTATAAATAAAGTATTATAATTATAATTATTATATTCTCCCAGGCAGGAAGCAGCCAGGCTTTGAAGCTGGAAGGGATATATTGAGGAAGGGGCAAACTTGTTTTCTGCTGCTCTGGAGATTGGTACACAACAGAACCATGGATTCAAATGCCATCTCAACATTAAGAAGAACTTCCTGACGGCAAGAACTGTTTGAAAGAGGACTATACTTGCTTTGGAGTCCGTCGGAGCCTCCTTCTCTGGAGGTTTTTAAGCAGAAGCTGGAGGACAGCAATAGCTTATAATAATAATAAAACTTTATTTATACCCCGCCGGGTCCTCCCCAAGGGACTCGGAGCGGCTTACATGAGGCCAAGCCCAACAACACATCAATAAACAGAAAGGCAATAAACAAAACAATACAATGCAATACAAATTAATATAAATCACATATAACAAGGATTTAAAAACCTATGACCAGGCCAAATGTAATAATTTAAAATTTAAAAAATAACGCTGGGCATGAACAAGGTAGGATATATCTGGTAGGAGGGTTTGGAAGTGAGTTCCAGAGTTGGGGGGCCACCACCGAGAAGGCCCGCTCCCTCGTCCCCACCAATTGCACCTGCGAAGGAGGCAGGAGCGCGAGCAGGGCCTCTACAGATGATTGAAGAGATCGCGTGGGTTCGTACACAGAAATGCAGTCACGCAGATAGGCTTGGGGCTCCTTACCATCCATTGGCACCTGGACCGAGACACATCCTGCTGGAGACCACAGGTATACTCTGTTGTTCCCTGAGCAAATGGCCAGCCGGGGCTGACGAGGATCCCATTGGAAGAGATGGACTGGGCAGAGCTGCTCCAAGATCACAAACAGCTTCATCTTCTGGACATCCCAAATCCAGACCGCACTGGGGATGTTATCTATCCAAAGGAAACACCACACGTGAAAGGGCATTCGGCACACAGTCCAATACATTATTATTATTATTATTATTATTATTATTATTATTATTATTTGAAACACAAAAGATTAGTACACAGCAAGGTCACTCTGTTGGCTGTTGTATTGGATCACACGTCGGACACTTCCCAAGTTTCTACGACTGTGTGATATATCGGTGAATAATGCGTGCAGATCCCAGTAGGGTGGCCTTTTGACAGATGGTAATTTTGTCAGTGCGATTGTGTTTAAGTGCAGGCCAAGGTCTTTAGGCACTGCACCCAGTGTGCCAATCACCATTGTGACCACCTTGACTGGCTTGTGCCAGAGACTTTACAGTTCGGTCTTTAAATCCTCGTACTGTGTTGGCTTTTTCAGTTGTTTGTCTTCAATCCTGCTGTCGCCTGGGATTGCAATATCGACGATCCATACTTGTTTTTTAACACAGTCATGAGGTCAGGAATCTTGTGCTCCAAAACTCTGTCTGTCTGAAATCAGAAGTCCCTGCCTTCCGCTTGACATGTTCATTTTCTGTGACTTTTTCAGGCTTGTGATCCCACCAGTTCTTTGTCGCAGGCAGATGGTCTTTGTGACACAAGTTCCAATGAATCTGGAATATTGTGTGCAATTCTGGGCACCACAATTGAAGGGAGATGTCGACAAGCTGGAATGTGTCCAGAGGAGAGCGACTAAAATGATCAAGGGCCTGGAGAACAAGCCCTATGAGGAGCGGCTCGAAGAACTGGGCATATTTAGCCTGAAGAAAAGAAGGCTGAGAGGAGACACGATAGCCATGTATAAATATGTGAGAGGAAGTCATAATGCTTTTTGTATAATGTTTTTTGCATAATGGTTTGAGAATTGTTTTTATACTGTGTTTTGTAGTTGTTCTTCCCATGTTGTACACCGCTGTGAGTCGCCCCTGGGCTGAGAACAGCGGTATAGAAGCAAAGTAAATAAATAAATAAATAAATAATAGATGCTATTATTATTATTATTATTATCATTATTATTATTATTATTATTATTATTATTATTATTATTATTATTATTATTATTATTTACAGCTTTTATATTCCGCCCTTCTCACCCCGCAGGGGACTCAGGGCGGATTACAGTGTACACATATATGGCAAACATTCAATGCCCATTTTGACATACAAACATATACAGACATAGACAGAGGCTATTTAACTTTTTTCTGGCCGCCAGGGGAGCTGTCGCTTTCATCGTCCATCTGCAACACTGATGAAGCACTTATGCATTCCCCGCATGCTTCCCTGCTGGAATGCTTTGCTGGAGTCTTCTTTATAGCCTCATAAATCAGTTAATTTAGCCTCCTCACACTTTAAGGTGGTACCTTATTTTCCTACTTGACAGATGCAACTGTCTTTCGGGTTGCAAAGGTCGACAACAGGCTACACATAATTGGTTGGAAACCCACTCCAACCCGAGCTGGCTTTGAACTCATGACCTTTTTGGTCAGAGTGATCTTAATGCAGCTGACACTCAGCCTGCTGTGCCAGAATCCCTGTGCAATGGAGCAATGGTTTCAAACTAGAAGAAAGGAGATTCCACCTGAATATTAGGAAGAACTTCCTGACTGTGAGAGCCGTTCAGCAATGGAACTCTCTGCCCCGGAGTGTGGTGAAGGCTCCTTCTTTGGAGGCTTTTAAACAGAGGCTGGATGGCCATCTGTCGGGGGTGTTTTGAATGCAATTTCCCTGCATCTTGGCAGAATGGGGTTGGACTGGATTGCCCATTAGGTCTCTTCAAACTCTATGATTCTATGAATCATCTGAGCAACGGTGTTATGCCTCTGCTTGTAGTCTGTCTGCACCATCTTCTTGCAGCAGTTGAGGATGTGATCTATTGTTTCATTTGCTTCCTTGCAGAGTCTACACTTGGGATCTGTCGTCAACTTTTCAATTCTGGTTTTGATGGCACTTGTTCTAATGCCTTGTTCTTGGGCTGCCAGAATCAGGCCCTCCTTTGTCTCCTTTTTCAAAGTTCCATTTGTGAGCCACAGCCATGTTTTTTTCTTTGTCAAATTGGTTCTCAATTTTTCCCAGGAACTGTCCATGGAGAGCCTTCTTTTGTCAGTATCACAGGTTGTCTATGCCCAACACCACTGGAGAAATTACTGGATATACTCAAGTATAAGCCTAGTTTTTTAGCTCCCTTTTCTAGGCTGAAAAAGTCCCTCTAAGTTTATACTCAAGTCAAGGTTATTTATTATTTTACTCTGTTGTTGTAGTAGTAGTTCTTGTTATTACTACATTTATTATTTTACTCTATTAATTATTATTATTGTCATTACCCTTGTTATTTTACATTTTTATTTTACTTTATTATTGTTATTATTGTTATTACATTTATTATTTTACTCTATTGTTATTACATTTCCATTATTTTACTTTTTTTTGCATTTATTATTTTTATTATTATTTATTTATATTATTATTACACTTACTATTTTACTCTGATGTCATGACATTTATTATTTTATTATTGTTATTATTATTACATTTATTATTTTACTCTATTATTATTACACTTACTATTTTACTCTGATGTCATGACATTTATTATTTTACTTTATTATTGTTATTATTATTACAGTTATTATTTTACTCTATTATTATTACACTTACTATTTTACTCTGATGTTATGACATTTATTATTTTACATTATTATTATTATTACATTTATTATTTTACTCTATTATCAGAAGAATATGTAAGCACATTTACATTGAAGAAAGTCAGAATAATGGTTTAATCAGAGTTGGACAGTCTTTTACCTTAAATTACAGTTTTATGTAAATATCCAGAAACATTTAACCTACTGGTCCTTCAATTAATATAATTTTATTGATACCTATTTATTTTGAAATTTACCAGTAGCTGCTGCATTTACCACTGTAGCGAGGGAGAGAGAGACTATTTCTTTATTTAAGAGAAACCTCTTTGCTGTTATAATGATTCAGTTTCTTCTTTTATATTAGCTGGGACTTTCTGTGTGTTGTTTAACCTTTGTACAGACAATGAGGCACTCTTCTGTATAACAAAGTAACACAGTTCATAACTTCTGGCTCCAACGCTTGTGGTTACATTTGAGTTCTGTTGCAATCTTGAGGCTTACAGTCAGTATAATATACTTGGTTTACTTTTCCGAAATAGACTTTCAATGTTTCACATTCACAAACATGTTACTTGCTTTACTGAAATTACTTGACTGAAATTATATTCTGACTAAAGCACCACTGGCTTTCTTTATGTTCCTAAAACTTGAGCTCTATTTAATTAACTGCCTCTATATATCAGAAGTCTTTAACACATCTTCATAACTGCTTATTTCTAACAGGAGTTCCTAACTCTTTTTCTCTCACAGAAGTTCCTAACTGTCTCTTACAAACAGGAATCCCTAACTCTCTTCACAAACAGCAATTCCTAACTAACCCTTTTTACTCTCTAACTGCCTATTGTTAAAACCTTGGCTCCAGCCCTTTGGAATGTTTAGCTCTGCTTTCTCTCCAACTGTCATTTTGGCCTAGCAACCTTTTCAAATCCTGGGCCTATGCTAATCTACATATGACCAATCGGCTTCCATATGCAAATGAATCCTATCTCTGCTGTTGCTACCCTGTACCTATTCTTCCCTATCTGCCATATGTAAACATAGAGCTATACACCAAAAATTTAACATAGAGTAGCAATTTCGCTACACTCACCCTCGGCTTATACTCGGGTCAATACATTTTCCCATTTTTTTGCGGTAAAATTAGGTTCCCAACTTATATTCAGTTTGGCTTATACTCGACTATATACGGTATACTGTTTAGCTGGCATTGCACCACCTGGCATCCGTCGGGAAGTAGCAGCCAGCAATGATACCTCCAGCTCAACCTCTGTTCAGATATCAGCCAGCATGCCAATGTCTTAAATCAAGAAATAGCTTCCTAAGATCTACAGAGATACTCGCAGGAACACCTCAGCAAGCAAGAGTCCAAAAGTGGCAGGTTAAATTGTGGAACCCCAATCAGTGGCTGAGACCAGATGGGAGACTCTCTCCTGGGTACACAGAAGACGGGGCAACCTGGAAGGCGCTGAACAGACTGCACTCCAGCACCACGAGATGCAGAGCCAACCTTAAGAAATGGGGCCACAAAGTGGAGTCCATGATATGCGAGTGTGGAGAAGAGCAAACCACAGACCACTGACTATGATGCAACCTGAGCTCTGCCACATGCACAATGGAGGACCTTCTCACAGCAACACCAGAGGCACCCCAAGTGGCCAGCTTCTGGTCAAAGGACATTTAGGTTAATGCCAAATTTTTAACTTTGTTTGTGATTTTTTATACATTATAACTATATTCTCAATTTGCTTCGGACATGATAAATATCTAGCAACAGCCAATCACTGTTTTGCATTTATTTGAAAATGAAAGAGTGTATATACAGCAAGGCATACTAACCATTTCTGGTGGCCAGGAAGCAATTGTCGCAGCTGAAAGCCAACATCCCAACCCCAATCCTTGGGTTTGCCTGGTCCATAGCAGGCTTTACAAGATGCAAAGACAACGGGACCGGGACAATTTCGTCTGGAATGGAAAAGACACAGAATGAAAAAGACACAAAAGAGACATGCACAAGAAGTGGAAAAAGGGAGAAATCACCAAAGAAGAATTCAAACAAATTATTTTCCCAACTCCTGTAGGGAAAAGGTCTGCAAGGCTAAAGCACAAAACGAGCTCAGGCTTGCCAGGGACATTAAAAACAATCAAAAGGGCTTCTTTTCTTATGTCAGCAGAAAAAGGAAGAACAAGGAGGCAATAGGGCCTCTTCGAGGAGAAGATGGGGCAGTGCTAACAGGGAATAGGGAAAAGGCAGAACTACTTAATGCCTTCTTTGCCTCAGTCTACTCACAAAAAGAAAGTCATCTTCAACCTCAGCAAGATGGAGTGGATGAGGGATTAGAGGACATCCAACTCCACATTGGGAAACAAGTCGTCCAGGAATATCTGGCTGCTCTAAATGAGTTCAAGTCCCCGGGGCCAGATCAACTACACCCAAGAGTATTAAAGGTTGAACAGAAGTCTGACCACACTGGAACTGACGATGCCAGTTCTTGACTCCATCCTATGATGGTTAATCCTCACTATCTACCTCTTCCATCTCATCGAATGTCTCCTTTGGTGTGCGGACTTTTGAGTAAAGGAACTTGAGGACTGCTCTGTATTCCACTAGGTACATTATCAAATCTCACATCACTTCAGCATCTGTAACATCAATACCGTTCTGAGTTCTAAATTGGCACGTAACCTATAGAGACTTATACCATTACACATGGGTAGTTTCAGCATCCTGTGAGAAATAGAAGTGGGTCAAGGGAAATCTTTAATGAACGCCTCTCGTATGTAAGGAAACAAATACAAGACCAAGTTTAGGAGACCAAGAAAAGCCACAGCTTCCATCCTAAAGTACAAAACTATCAACATTATGAACATACAAAAGCAGAAGCAGATGCATGAGCTCACATTTACTCTTCGTACGGAAGAGAGAGCCGGCCATTTTCTTGCTTGGAGGAAAAGCCAGCTTCTCCGTATCCACTGCCGGCGACTTCTCCACTTCCTTATAAATAATCTAAAGAGAAGGTCAAGTCAATTCTTTGATATGCTGGTGGGTTCTGGGGGTGGATCTGACCCTGGATGATGGGAGCTATAGTTCACACATATAAGAATAATAATTATAAAACCCAGCAACGAAATATCTGGACCAAACTTGGCACATATCACCACTGTGTCCAACTGAAAATATTGGAGGGATTTGGGGGGGGGGGGGGGGGGGGGGGGGGATTGTAGTCTGCCGACATCCAGAGAGCTCAGTGAACCCTAACGATGGCACACAGACCCACCATGACAATGTTAAAATACCGTATATACTCGAGTATAAGCCGACCCAAATATAATTATTATTATTATTATTATTATTTTACTGACACAAAAACACAGTATGTCACAGCAAATGAATTTATAGGCTGGTGTAGCGAGGGAGAGAGACTATTTCTTTTTTTAAGAAAAACCTCTTTGCTCTTATAATGATTCAGTTTCTTCTTTTATATTAACTGGGACTTTCTGTGTGCTGTTTAACCTTTGTACAGGCACTGAGACACTCTTCTGTATAACAAAGTAACACCGTTTATTTATAAATTCTGGCTCCAACGCTTGTGGTTACATTTGAGTTTTGTTGCAATCTTGAGGCTTACAGTCAGTATAATATACTTGGTTTACTTTTCTGAAATACTTTCAATGTTTCACATTCACAAACATGTTACTTGCTTTACACACTCTTGACTGAAATTATATTTTGACTAAAGCACCACTGGCTTTCTTTATGTTCCTAAAACTTGAGCTCTATTTAACTAATTGCTTCTATATATCAGAAATCTTTAACACATCTTCATAACTGCTTATTTCTAACAGGAGTTCCTAACTCTTTTCTCTCACAGAAGTTCCTAACTGTCTCTCACAAACAGGAATCCCTAACTCTCTTCACAAACAGCAATTCCTAACTCACTCTTTTGACTCTCTATAACTGCCTATTTTTAAACTTTGGCTCCGCCCCTTTGGAATGTTTAGCTCTGCTCTTCCCAACTGTCATTTCGGCCTAGCAACCTTTCCAAATCCTGGGCCTACGCTAAGCTGCATATGACCAATTGGTTTCCACATGCAAATGAATCATATCTCTGCTGTTGCTACCCTGTCCGTGCCTATTCTTCCCTATCTGCCATATGTAAACATAGAGCTATACACCAAAAATTTAACATAGAGTAGCAATTTCGCTACAGCTAGATTTATAATAATAATAATAATAATAATAATAATAATAATAATGTTCAATAATAATAATAATGTTCAATAATAGTTCAGTTGAACATTATTATTATTATTATACATTATTATTATTAATCCAGCATATAGATCTCATTTGCTGTGACATACTGTGTTTTTGTGTCAGAATAATAATAATAATAATAATAATAATAATAATAATAATAATAATAAAGTTCAACTGTACTATTATTGGCTTCCGTTCTTTTTTAATGATCCCCCACTTGTCCTACTTACTATCTTTGGGCTCACAATATCGACAGGATGCTCAAACTCAGCTATTTTCTTCCAGGTCACATGGTTCAGAATGCGCACCTGTTCAATAGGGGAAAAGCCCAACAAGAACAAGGTCAAAGAAAAGCAAAACATTACAAAACAGATTCCACCTTTTTTCTTTTTCAAAGCTTATTTATAAGACGTTTACCTTTTCATCAAAGCTGCCGATGGCCAAGAACTGACTGCTGGGGCTCCAGGCAATGGATTTGACACCCAGCGACAATTCGTAGGCTGAATAAGTAGAAAGCAGGCGGCCATCCAGCGAGTAGAGCAACACTTTGTACTGAAAGGAAGAGATTTACTTCTTGAAAGGCAAGAAAACGGGAGATGTGAAAGGGATCTAGGAGCCTTTGTAAAACCCAAAGCTGAACGTAAGTCAACAGTGTAATGCAGCAGCGAAAAAGGCCAATGCCATTCCAGACTGCATCAATCAGAAAAGTACTTCCTGATGGGAAGAGCTGTTCAACAGCTTTGGGGGTCCATTGGAGTCTCCTTCTCTAGGAGGCTTCTAAGCCGAGGCTGCATGGCCCTCTGTTGGGAGTGATTAGATTGTGCTTTTCTTTCCTAGCAGAAGGCGGTTGGACTGGATGGCCCTTGGGGTATCTCCCCATCTCTTATAGGAAAAGAGGTATCATATCTGTTGATCATCTATCCACCTGTTTGTCCGTCCGTCCGTCCATCCATCCATCCATCTCTTATACAAAAAGAGGTTTAATATCTATCATCTACCTATCAATCTATCTATCCATCCATCCACCCATCTCTTATACAAAAAGATGCATCCTTTCTTTCTTTTTCTTTTTTCTTTCTATCCATCTATTCACCCACCCATTGGTTATACAAAAAGACTAATCATATCTATCTATCTATCTATCTATCTATCTATCTATCTATCTATCTATCTATCTATCTTTTTCTTTCTTTCTTTTTTCCTTCTATCCATCTATTCACCCACCCATCTCTTATACAAAGACAAATCATATCTATGTATCTCTCTATCTTTTTCTTTCTTTCTTCTTTCTTTCTATCCATCTATTCACCCACCCATTTGTTATACAAAAAGACTCATCTATCTTTTTCGTTCTTTCTTTCTTACTTTCTTTCTATCCATCTATTCACCCACCCATCTCTTATACAGACACATCATATCTATCTATCTATCTATCTATCTATCCATCCATCCATCCATCCATCCATCTATCTATCAATCCATCAATTCACCTACCCATCTCTTATACAAAAAGACAAATCATATCTATCTATCTTTTTCTTTCTTTCTTTTTTCTTTCTATCCATCTATTCACCCACCCATCTCTAAAACAAAAAGACACATCATATCTATCTATCTATCTATCTATCTATCTATCTATCTATCTACATTTCAATCCATCCACCCATCTCTTATACAAAACGACATATCATATCTATCTATCATCTATCTATCTTTCTTTCTATCCATCCATCCATCTCTTATACAAAAAGAGGTATCATATTTATCATCTACCTATCTATCTATCTTCATTTCAATCCACCCATCAACCCATCTCTTATACAAAAAGACATATCATATCTGTCTCTATCTATCTATCTATCTATCTATCTATCTATCTATCTATCTATCTATACATTCAGAGTTATCTTTCTATCTCATGTCAAAAACGGACTCCATCTGTGCATCCACCCATCTGTCTGTCTGTCTGTCTGTCTACCTTTCTATGGAGATGCGGATAGTTGATGCTTATATCTACAACTAAGCTATATTGGTTTTAAGTTGACAAATACCTATATATTTTATTTTTATTTTAAGTGGACTAGATGTATGTTGTATGTTTATTTATTTATTTATTGCATTTGTTGACCGCCGTTCTCAGCCCCTTAGGGCGACTCATGGCGGTGTACAACATATAAAAACAGTTTACAAAACATATAATTAAACTAAATCATCCGCGTCGTCTCAACATAGAATCATAAGCCAATCTCGTAATCCATATTCCGTTCCAGTCGTCATTGCCAATTGTTATAGCACTTAGTTAAACGCCTTTTCGAATAGCCATGTTTTTAGGCTCTTACGGAATGCCATAAGTGAGGGCGCCTGTCTGATGTCAACAGGGAGAGTGCTCCATAGCCGGGGGGCCACCACTGAGAAGGCCCTATCTCTCGTCCCCGCCAGACGTGCCTGTGAGGCAGGCAGGATCGAGAGAAGGGCCTCCCCAGATGATGTGTTTGTATGTTTGTATGTTGTGTTTGCACTGTCTGTTTTTTGATAAGGTCAACTGGCTAATCAATAAAAAAATGTTGTTGTTGTCTTCCTTCCATGTACAATGCAGTGAAAACAAATTATCTGCTTATATAAATGCTAGTTATTCTCAGCGAATAAATACCTTAAAAATAATATGGTTCCTCTCACCTTAAGACAGCTGTCCCATACTGCCAATACACAGCCATTCGGAGCCCATTCAATCCCGGCCATATCCTGAGTTTCAGTTTCAAAATGCTTCCACCCAAACAGAGAAAAGGAAAGTGCATAGTGTTAGTAATATAAATAGCAAGCCAGAGTTTTATAAACACCACTTAGCACAAGTTGCAGTTCATCGTCTTGCAGGCCAATGGGCCAGTTTAGTTCCTCAAAGCCAGCTTTTATTGCAGAGACTGGAGGAAAGCAAGAGTCATTGCCATCTTGGCACAACCTGGGGATCACAACCAGACACAGTGAAGACATCTGCCCTTGCACTATGCTACTCTGCTGCTGAGTACGCATGCCCAGTTTGGAACACACCTCACCACGCTAAAACAGTGGATGTGGCTCTTAATGAGACATGCTGCATTATCACGGGGTGTCTGCGCCCTACACCACTGGAGAAATTACACTGTCTAGCCAGTATCGCACCACCTGACATCCGCCGGGAAGTAGCAGCCAATAGTGAAAGGACCAAGGCAGAGATATCTCCAGCTCATCCCCTGTTTGGGTATCAGCCAGTACTTCAACGACTTAAATCAAGAACTAGTTTTCTAAGATCTACAGAGACACTCGCTGGAACACCTCAGCAAGCGAGAGTTCAAAAGTGGCAGGCTCAAACCCAGCACCTCAATCCGTGGGTGATACCAGATGAGACTCCCCCCTGGGCACACAGAAGACTGGGCGACTTGGAAGGCGCTGAACAGACTGCGCTCTGGCACCACGAGATGCAGAGCCAATCTTAAGAAATGGGGCCACAAAGTGGAATCCACGACATGCGAGTGTGGAGACCACTGCCCACCTGCTGCAATGCAACCTGAGCCCTGCCACATGCACAAGGGAGGACCTCCTTGCGGCAACACCAGAGGCACTCCAAGGGGCCAGATATTGGTCAAAGGACATTTAATCAACTACCAAGCTTGCAAACTTTGTGTTTTTTTATCTGTTTGTTTGTTTTGTTCTGTTAGAAGTGTAATACAATGGTCTGGTTGCCCCTGACACGATAAATAAATTGCAGAAACTACCCAGAACTAGATCTGCAATGGGTTGATGATCTATACACAAAAGTGAAAATATGTCTGGGTGTGTGTGTGTGTGGGCTGGGCTGTCCACTTACACAGACAAGCTGGTGCCTCCATAAACAGCTATAGGTTCCACTGCTCAGGAGACATTGATGGCCCTCTGCCCAATGGCATTGCAGGTTATAGTGCGCACCAATGTACAAGAGCCCTGCCAATGTCCTCCACAAACACCACACTATGAAGTGAAATTTGGAGACAATTTCATCCTAGATTTTATGTGTTTCCTCCAAAACGGACATCCCAGTGTTTCCTACTCTCTTCATTGGTGTGGAATTTGTACGACCAAACTTTTTTTCTTTTCCACAATCATGATGCCTTGTATATTGTGTTCCAAGACTTTGTCAGTCTGGATCCGAAAGTCCCACAGTATTTTGTGTATTCTTTTTCCACCACCTTTGCAGGTTTATGATCCCACCAGGTGGTACTTGTGACATAAGTTCCAGTGAATCATTTTTGCCACAGAGTTGTGCCTCTGTTTGTAGCCAATAGTGAAAGGACCAAGGCAGTGACATCTCCAGTTCATCCTCTGTTTGGGTATCAGCCAGCACGTCAACGACTTAAATCTAGAAATAGTTTTCTAAGATCTACAGAGACACTCGCTGGAACACCTCAGCAAGCAAGAGTCCAAAAGCGGCAGGCTCAAACCCAGGACCTCAATCAATGGTTGATACCAAATGAGAGACTCCCCCCAGGCACACAGAAGACTGGGCAACTTGGAAGGAATTGAACAGACTGCGCACTGGCACCACAAGATGCAGAGCCAATCTTAAGAAATGGGGCTACAAAGTGGAATCCACGACATGTGAGTGTGGAGAAGAGCAAACCACAAACTACCTGCTGCAATGCAACCTGAGACCTGCCACATGCACAAGGGAGGACCTTCTTATAGTAACACCAGCTACTGGTCAAAGGACATTTAATCAACTACCAAGCTTGCAAACTTTGTGTTTTGTTTGTTTGTTAAAAAATGCAAAACAACTGTTTGGTTTACTCCTGACACGAGAAAAAATATTTCTATTTTGAAATTTACCCGTAGCTGCTGCATTTCCCACCACTGGTTTATACCCGAGTCAGTAAGTTTTCCCAGGTTTTTTTGTGGTAAAATTAGGTGCCTCGGCTGATATTCAGGTTGGCTTATACTTGAGTGTATAAGCCAGGGATTGAATATTTACTTTTAAGCTTTTTTTGTATTTATATTTGAAGTATTGTATATTTACTTTTAAGCTTTTTAATTGTATTTCTATTTGAATTACTTCTAAGCTTTTTATTGTATTTATATTCGAATTATTAAGTCATGTTTATTATTGTATGTTTAAATTGATATGTTAATTGTTTAAATTGATATGTTTATTATTATATGTGTAATGTGGCATTGTATGCCATGGATTGTAAGCCGCCCTGAGTCCCCCACTGGGGTGAGAAGGGTAGGGTATAAATGTATAATAATAATAATAATAATAATAATAATAATAATAATAATAATAATAATGGTATATAGCATTTTGTCAGGTTTTGCAATGTATTGTAATGTAATATAGCTGAGTCATGCACTGCTAATGGGCTTCTATTGGAAATGCTGAGTCATGCATTAACTGTATATAGAACTCCATTTGGGGAATGTGTTCTGGCCTAGTCCAGGTGATTGTGAATGATGCAATCCTGGGTTTGAGTTGAGTCAATGAGTTGGGAACCAATCGGTGATTGCTATGTGTAAATGAATTGTATATAAGGAAGTCATGTACAGTGTATATCTCTCCTTGTGCTGTGATGTTGTTCGCCGAAGGCTATATGTAATTAAAATTATCTGCTAAGATAAGATATAACTGTATGCTGTGGTAAGTTTGTAATATCATCTAGACTGGGGGAAAGACAATGGTAAAACTGACAATGGCCGGGCATGTTCCAGAGTGACTGCAGGCTGTGGGAGCAGTTGACTGAAAATACTGTGCAGGAAGAAGCTACTGGAAAGCGCTGAAGTTGTGCAACTGATCTGCTGCTGAATTGTGAAGTTAATCTCAACACATTTCTATATCGCAAGATGGATGGATGGCATCCTTGAAGTGACTGGATTGATCTTGGAACTGGGGGTGGTGACGGTCAACAGGGAGCTCTGGCGTGGGCCAGAGGTCACGAAGAGTTGGAAATGACTGAACGAATGAAGAACAAAATTTCTATATTGACCAATTGGTGAACCAATAATCTGACTCTTTAGAGCTGGATCCAAGATGGGTTTTTACCCGTAAGAGCTGCCAATCGCTGCAGACGAAAAGACTGATGTAGTCCTTGCAGTCTCTCCTCTCCGCCAAGGCCATGTAGCGCCCGTTCTTCGTGAACGCGATTCCTGCCAAAAAGGAAAGAGAGCAGTGCTTGAAGGAGGTGGAAAGATCAAGACCGCAAAAGAAGGGGAAAACCAACAAAAGCCTGGACAGAAGAGCCATTGTCTTTCGGGGTGATCTTGGTGCCATATTTGGACTCTGTCGTCCAAGAGGACTTGCATAAAACACACATTACATCTGGTCTGGAGTGGTTTTTTCAGCTCTTCAAGGCACTTCGGAATAGCTCTCATGCTGGCAAGTTCGGGTGAGAAAAAGGCTGAATGTGTGTGAAAAGAAAACAATGGTGGCCTCGAATATCAGGTTTCAGGTATAGGGATGTGAATATCAGGTATCAGGATGTGAATTTAATTGAAGTTGAGCTTAGGTGTTGAAGGGCCCACTTGCCCCTCTGCTTTCATCCCTTCTTCCTTTTTTTTTTTTTTACCCCTCCAAACCTTTTCCACATTCCTTCCCTCCTTCTTTCTCTCCTCTACCCTCCTGCCTTTTCTCATTCTTTTCTTTTTCTCTTTCTTTCCTTTCTACCTTCTCCAGGTCTGAGAGGGTCTACCTCACAATGTCTCCATGGAAGCCAAAGCTTCCTCCCCTCTTCCGTTTCCTCCATATACTCGATGTAACGATGTTACCAATTTGTGACGATTCGCTAAGATGCCACTAATTTCTTATGAGGCCACCAATTTGTAAACGTTTGTAAAGGAGCCACCACTCTGTAAGGGCTTATTAAATTGATAGCATAGCTTATAGCTAATAATATTGATTTGGTCTTTCTTCTGTGTAGCGTGACTTAACTTATCAGAGACAAGACTTTAGGAAAAACAGTAACAAGTTTATTGAAATGTAGAAGGAGCTTGATGGTTTCAAAGTAACTTAACTTTTAGAGCAGTGTTTCTCAACCTGGGGGTCGCGAGGGGGTGTCAGAGGGGTCGCTCATGTTTAACTTGTTGTCCACGAGGACCCCAAGATCTTTTTCACATGTACTGCCCTCAAGGCAGGCATTGTCCCCCATTCTGTATCTTTGCATTTCATTTTTTCTGCCTAAGTGCAGTATTTTGCATTTGTCACTGCTGAAGTTCATTTTGTTAAGTGTTGGCCCACCTCTCTAATCTGTCAAGATCGTTTTGAATCCTGCTCCTGTCCTCTGGAGTATTGGCTCTCCCTCCCAGTTTGATGTCGTCTGCAAACTTGATGATCATGCCTTCTAACACTTCATCTAAGTCAGTGGTTCTCAACCTGGGGTCCCCAGATGTTGTTGGCCTACAACTCCCAGAAATCTCAGCCAGTTCACCAGCTGTTAGGATTTCTGGGAGTTGAAGGCCAAAAACACCTGGGGACCCCAGATTGAGAACCACTGATCTAAGTCATTAATAAAGATGTTGAACAGGACCGGGCCCAGGACGGAACCCTCACCCACTTGCTACAAAACAGGAGCTTTTTTGTTGAGTTCCAGGGCCAGTGAAGCAGATGGTGAAAACAGAAGAACAGCCTGCCTCAGGGGAGCATGCTTGCTCCATCCACGTTTAACATTATACAAATTACTGGCACAACCTGGGGATCACAACCAGACACAGTGAAGACATCTGCCCTTGCACTTTGCTGTGCTGCTGCTGAATACACATGCCCAGCGTGGAACACATTTCACCATGTCAAAACAGTGGATATGCCTCTTAATGAGACATGCTACATTATCACAGGATGTTTACCTCCAACACCGCTGGAGAAATTATACTGTTTAGCTGGTATTTCACGACCTAACATCTGCCAGGAAGTAGCAGCCAAGGCAATGACATCTCAGGCCCATCCTCTGTTCAGATATTAGCTAGCAAGACAATGTCGTAAGTCAAGAAATAGCTTCCTAAGATCTATAGCCTAACTGTAAACAGTGACTGATGGAGCCAGCCCTCATTTGGGTCTTGAGCAGCATTGCATTCTGGGAAATGTAGTTTATGGCAGGGCCTTTTGCATTCTCTGCACAAATTTAACGAATAATAAATCATATTTTTAACAAATAAAAAATCTATATAACTAAAAATGTAATGTTCGTTTGTGGTATTCACAGAACTCAAAAACCACGGGACGAATTGACACCCAATTTGGACACAAGACACCTAACAACCCAATGTATGTCCTTCACTCAAAAAATTTGATTTTGTCATTTGGGAGTTTTAGTTGCTGGGATTTATAGTTCATCTACAATCAAAGAGCATTCTGAACCCCACCAATGATGGAATTGAACCAAACTTGGCACAAAGAACTTCCATGATCAACAGAAAATACTGGAAGGATTTGGTGGGCATTGACCATGAGTTTTGGAGTTGTAGTTCACCTACATCCATAGAGTACGGTGCACTCAATGATGGATATGGACCAAACTTGGCACAAATATTCAATATGCCCAAATATGAACACTGGTGGAGTTTGGGGAAAATAGACCTTGACATTTGGGAATTGAAGTTGCTAGGATTTATAGTTCATCTACAATAAAAAGCATTCTGAACTCCACCAACAATTGAATTGAACCAACCTTGGCACACAGTTCTCCCATCATCAATAGAAAATACTGGAAGGGTTTGGTGGGCATTGGCCTTGAGTTTTGGAGTTGTAGTTCACCTACATCCAGGGAGCACTGAGGACTCAAACAATGATGGATCTGGACCAAACTCTACACAAAGACTCAATATGCCCAAATGTGAACACTGGTGGAGTTCGGGGGAAATAGAATCTTAACAATTGGGGGTTGTAGTTGCTGGGATGTATAGTTCACCTAAAATCACAGAGCATTCTGAACCCCACCAATGATAGAATTGGGCCAAACCTCCCACACAGAACCCCCATGTGGGCCACAGCAACGCGTGGCAGGGGATGTCTAGTAATAAATAAAAATGTAATGGTCATTACATTTTGGTCATTACATGTGGGATTAACATAACTCAAAGACCACTGGGTGAATTGACACCAAATTTGGACACAATGCGCCTATCAGGCCAATGAGTGACCATCACTCGAAAAATTGATTTTGTCATTTGGGAGTTGTAGTTTATTTATTATTTATTTAGAACTTTTATATACCGGTCTTCTCGACCTCCGAAGAGGGACTCAGGCCAGTTCACAACACAAAATTCATAAACAATAGTTTAAAACATTACACCCCAAAATACACTAATACATAAAATATATTAAAATACAATCATATAATTACATAAAACCAAGTCGTCAGAATGAAATTATAATTCATCACCATCCGTCCGTGTGGTCAAGAGCTATTGACTCACTCATCAAATGCCAAATTCCAGAGCCAAGTTTAGTTGCTGGGATTTATAGTTCACCTACAGTCAAAGAGCACTCTGAACTCCACCAATAATGGAATTGAACCAAACTTAGCACACACAGAACTCCCATGACCAACAGAAAATACTGAAGGGTTTGGTGGGCATTGACCTTGAGTTTGGGAGTTGTAGCTCACCTACATCCAGAGAACACTGTGGACTCTAACAATGATGGATCTGGACCAAACTTGGCACAAATACTCAACATGCTCAAGTGTGAACACTGGTGGAGTTTGAGGAAAATAGACATGGACATTTGGGAGTTGTATTTGCTGTATTTTGTTGTATTTGTTGTATTTGTTGTATTTTACATCTACATCAACACTGACAAGAAATACTGTTTACCCACAAGCATAAAGAAATTACATATATTAGAAACCAACACTATTTTCCAGGTCACCAGGCTGGGCCACAGCAACACGTGGCAGGGGGCAGCTAGTTTAATCTGATATATTATTATGATTTGAAATTATGCACAAGCCTCACGGCTAACACAAAGGATTGGTTGTATTTTCATTTACGGCAGATGCTTTTTAGGCCGTTCGTGGACTTCACACACTGTATCTTTAAAAAAAAAATACTTTGCTATATCACGTTAGCTCCACTTACCCTGCTGACAGTCCTTGGGATACTTGATATAAGACACGGATTTGGTGCACAAGGACCATACAGTTATCCGCAGCTGTTGGAAACAAGAGAAAGAGACAGGGGAAGTTTACGTTTTTCTTTTATTTAATCCTCGCAGCTGATATGAGTGAAAAGGCTCATATTTCTTTTGAAAAACACCTTTGCATTCAACAATAGCATGGTTTTTACGGCAGAAGGCAGACATCCTGAAAACAGAATGAGAATGTGAGAGGGGGATTCTCATAGAAAACTGCAAAACAGGCAGCATTTTCCACAGTTTTTCAGAAAATGCCTGTTGACTGAGATACGTTTTTTGTCATTTTTCATTTTTCTGGATTTAACTAAATAGTTTTTAACCATTTTAATCTATACACATAATTTATTTTATGTATCGTGTCAGCAGCAGACCAGACAGTTACATTGCATTTTTTAACAAACAGACAAACAAACAAAACACAAAGTTTGCAAAGTATACACATAATAAAAGTGAAAATATGTATGTGTGCATATGGCTGGGGTGTCAATTTACAGGGACAAGCTCCTGCCTCCACAAACAGCTATTGCTTCCACTACTCAGGAGTCACCAATGGCCCTCACTCCAATGACATTGTAGGTTATAGTAAGCACCATGAACATGAACAAGAGCCCTGCCGATATCCTCCATAAACACCACACTGCCCATCACTCCCATCTTGGAAGCCCTGGCTGCCCTGCGTCTGCAAGATCTGCAGGACAGCGGAAGATAAAGCAATTTGGAGACCTCTCCTGCATAAATTACCATAGGTTGAAGACAATAATACTTGGAGAGGTAGACGGTAGTAGGGAAAGAAGAACACTCCATTCCAGAAGGATGGACTCTCTCATGGAAGTCATGGTCAAAGACAACAACGCTTGGGAAGCCAGAAGGTAGTAGCGAAAGAATAAGACCCCATTCCAGATGGATGGACTCCATCATGGAAGAAATGGTTGAAGACTACAATGCTTGGGAAGTCAGAAGGTAGTAGGAAAAGAAGACCCCGTTCCAGATGGATGGACTCTCTTATGGAAGTCATGGTCAAAGACAACAACGCTTGGGAAGTCAGAAGGTAGTAGGAAAAGAAGACCCCATTCCAGATAGATGGACTTCATCATGGAAGTCATGGTTGAAGACAGCAACGCTTGGGAAGCCGTAAGGTAGTAGGAAAAGAAGACCCCATTCTAGATGCATGGACTCTATCATGGAAGTCATGGTTGAAGAGAACAACACTTGGGAAGCCAGAAGGTAGTAGTGAGGAAGAAGACCCCATTTCAGATTGATGGACTTCATCATGGAAGACATGGTTGAAGTCAACAATGCTTGGGAAGCCAGAAGGTAGGAGGGAAAGAAAAAAAACACCATTCCAGATGGACTCCATCATGGAAGTCATGGTTGCTCCCACTTAGTGGGACGCTATATGTCAAAGTGAACTTGAAGACAGCCAGCAACAACAACCTATAAAGCTGTTATTGCGAAGTATTGGGGGCAGAGATGTTCCCAATGCAAACCATTCCAGCAAACCCTTGTCCAATGGAGGGACTCACCCTTCAAGCAACCTTTTTCTCCACAGATATCTCTCCCTAACATTGATTTACTGTCTGAGTTGACATTTTTCAAACTTGCCTCCGTATGGGAAGTTGTCTCCTAAGCACCCAGCTGTTGTTTTGTGTGGAAGTGGAGGGAAGGGTGAGGAGCAAATCCGAAGCTACAGCAGCATTTTTGGAATAGCCTCAAAACAGCTGAGAAACACTGTCTTGAGACAGTAATGCGATAAAATGGTCTGAAGAGCTGGGGATGAGGAATGGCGCCCATGCCCTGACAGCCCCAGGCAGGTGGGTCTCCGTGGCTTCCATAACCTCGCGTTCTCAAACGACTCTCAACTTTTGTCCCAGACTTGACTAGGTCAAGGGGACTTCTTACATAGCTGTGTCTGTCGGCACAGGATTAAGAAAAGATTATGCCGGGCGCATTCCTGGACAGAAAGTATTGTTCAACCCTAGTAGACGTCTCCAGTTGCGAAGGCCACAAAACGGAAATGGCTGCTGGTGTTCATCGCAGCCCCAAAGAAACTATAAGAGCAATCACCCAGCGCACAAACAAAGCAACGTAACTCCACTATCACAGTGCAGGAAAAAGTAGAAAACCACAAAAGAAATTTTTTTTGTTTTTTTTAACTTGAAGAAACACCTTCATAAGAACCTCTAAACTTGATTTGATGGTCAACTTGAACCACCAGAAGGCCACAAAATCGCGCTAAAGGGCCCATAGCAGTGGTTCCCAATCTTCCTAATGTCGTGACCCCTTAATGCAGTTCCTCATATTGTGGTGACACCCAACCATAAAATTATTTTCATTGCAATTGAATCCTCTCTCATTCTCGGATCCTCATCCTTATAATTTATATGGTCCTATCTCCCAGTGTTTTTAAAAATTTTAGCCTTGAGTGGGGCCCTGCCCAGTGAAATCTTCTGTTTTTGATTGCTTGTTTTGTATTGTTTGTATCTTTTTTTATATTTATTTCCATTTTATGTATTTTATTTTCTGGTTTTGTTATGTTTTTGTATTACAATGTATGTACTGTACTGATGGGCGTGGCCTCATGTATTTTATTTATTTATTTATTTACAGCTTTTTATATTCCGCCCTTCTCACCCCACAGGGGACTCAGGGCGGATTACAGTGTACACATATATGGCAAACATTCAATACCAATTTTTTTTAATTATTTTTATTGAAAAGATTTTTTTGACGTATACAAATTGACAAACAAGACGAACAGTACAGACAAGTTTATATACAAAATTAAAAGGGTAGTTGCCTTAAAGGCTGTATATTTCTCTCTATGTATTATATTCTACGCAGTCATCCATGTCTATTTTCTCAAGTCGTATTCGTTCCTATCTACCAAGTTATTTACCTAGCCCAAATTCCTAAACTAAATGTTGTCATAGCCCCCCCTCCCCCTACAACACATTTCAATATCTATACACATCAGTACATAAATACATAAATACATATAGTTTCCCCCTAACTTCCAGGAACCTCAAGCAACCTGAGTTTAATTCATTCCCAACGTATTTTGTTTTGATGGTTAATTTTTAACCTACTTTTAATATCACTTCCGGAATTCTTCTTTCCTTCCTATTTTAACAATATTTGAGGTTATTTTTCTTTAGAAAATTAATGAACTTGTTCCAGTCGGTGTTATCTGTTGTTGTTCTATTTTTTCTTATTTTTTGTGTTAGCAAGTCCATATCCATGATATCCATAGCCTTATTGATCCATGAATCAAAAGTTGCTGTGTTTTCAGTTTTCCATACGCGGGCAATACATATCCTTGCTGCCATGGTCAAGTAAAAAAAAGATTTTATCGTCGTTCTTATTCAGTTTTAGGTTAGTCATTCCTAGTAGGAAATATTCTGGTTTGAGTTCAAAATTGCGTTGGAAGATCTCTCTCATTTTTCTCTGTACCTCAGACCAGAACTTTTTAACAACTCCACACTCCCACCACATGTGCTTGAATGTACCCGTTTTCTTCCTACATCTCCAGCACTTTTTATCAATCTTCCCCTTGCTATATTTCGCTAGTTTTTCAGGGGTTTGATACCATAGATAGAACATCTTTACCCAATTTTCTTTGATCTCCATAGCATACGCATACTTCAGTTTTTTTAACCATACCTCCTCCCACTCTGACATGGTGATTGTGTGTCCTACCATTGTAGCCCACTTAATCATGACTTCCTTAACCTGTTTTTCCTCCATTGCCCACAGTAAGAATTGTTGGTACAGTCTTTTGGTCATACAATCCTACTTTTCTATCTTCCCTAAAGTTTTCATTGACTTGCCAGTATTGGAAACAAGAAAACTTGGGTTCTATTTGTTGTATCTCCTCCAGTGTTTTAATTCTTATTTCTTGGTTGTTTATATTAAGCAAGTGTTTGTATGTCAGCCATCTGTCATTTGATGTTTCCCTTCTCTGGTCCCTCATTTGGTGACAGCCACATCGGTGTCCTAGTACACATTCAATGCCAATTTTTGACATACAAACATATACAGACATACACAGAGGCTATTTAACTTTTTCTGGCCGCCAGGGGAGCTGTTGCTTTCATCGTCCATCTGTGACAATGATGAAGCACTTCCGCATTCCCCGCATGCTTCCCCGCTGGAATGCTTTGCTGGAGTCTTCTTTATGGCCTCATAAATCAGTTAATTTAGCCTCCTCACACTTTAAGGTGGTACCTTATTTTCCAACTTGACAGATGCAACTGTCTTTCGGGTTGCAAAGGTCGACAACAGGCTACACACAATTGTTTGGAAACCCACTCCAACCCGGGCTGGCATCGAACTCATGACCTTTTGGTCAGAGTGATCTTAATGCAGCTGACACTCAGCCAGCTGCGCCACAATCCCTAATGGAGTTTGGGGAAAATAGACCTTGACATTTGGGTTTATAGTTTGCCAACAATAAAAGAGTTTTGGGGTTGTAGTTCACTCAAACAATGATGCATCTGGACCAAACTTGGCATGGATACTCAGTATGCCCAAATTTGAACACTAGTGGAGTTTGGGGGGAAAGAGATATAGACATTTGGGAGTGGTAGTTACTGGGATTTATAGTTCACCTACAATCAACGAGCATTCTGAACCCCACCAACGATAGAATTGGGCCAAACTTCCCACAGAACCCTCATGACCCTTGTCTTTGGCAACCCCTCTGACACTCCCCATGACCCCCCCCCCAACAGGGGTCCCAACCCTCAGGTTGATAAACACTGCTCCAAGCTATTTTGTGGGGCAAGATTGTAGATGGTAACATTGGTTATCTCTGAGAAGCTGCCCCCATATTGTTTTCAGACTTACGTGAAACTCAGTGGTGTTGAGGATGTGACGGCCGTCGGGACTCCAGCAAGTGGCCACCAATCCGGCTGAGCCTTCGTCGATCTTGCAGTGCCAGTCGGGCTGCTCCAAGGACCAGACCTGAGACAAGAAGGAGGATGAGTGATCAAGTGAGGACAGAACTCTAGGAGACTCAACAAAGACCATGAAAGACTGGTGACAGATCCCGCTACGTTCTCTGTTTTTTTTCTTTAAGCCATAGAAGTGCAAGATCCTTTCCAAGGAAAAGGGTTTGTTTACTCTATAATCTAGTCAAGCTCATGTCGTTCTATGTGGCCCTTCTCCGGATTGATTTACTTATTGTGTCCGAAGTGAATTGAGGATATAGTTATAATGAATAGAAAAACTACAAAGTTAAAAACTTGGCATTATCCTAAATTTCCTTTGTCCAGAAGCTGGCCACTTGGGAGTGCCTCCGGTGTTGCTATAAGAAGGTCCTCCATTGTGCATGTGGCAGGGCTCAGGTTGCATTGCAGCAGGTGGTCTGTAGTTTGCTCTTCTCCACACTCGCATGTCGTGGACTCAACTTTGGGCCCCATTTCTTAAGGTTGTCTCTGCATGTCGTGGTGCCAGAGCGCAGTCTGTTCAGCGCCTTCCAAGTTGCCCAGTCTTCTGTGTGCCCAGGAGGCAGTCTCTCATCTAGTCTCAGCCACTGATTAAGGTTGCCACTTTTGGACTCTTGCTTGCTGAGGTGTTCCAGGAAGTGTTTCTGTAGATCTTAGGAAGCTGTTTCTTGATCTAAGGCATTGACATGCTGGCTGATATCTGAACAGAGGGTTGGCCAGAGATGTCAATGCCTTGTTCCTTTCATTACCAGCCACTTCCCTGCAGATGTCAGAGGGTGCGATACTGGCTATATATTGTAATTTCTCCAGGGGTGCAATAATGCAGTATGTCTCATTAAAAGCCACACCCACTGTTTTAACGTGATGAAATGTATTCCACACTGGGCATGCGTATTTAGCAGCAGAGTAGCAAAGTGCAAGGGCAGATGTCTTCACTGTGTCTGGTTGTGATCCCCAGGTTGTGCCAGTCAGCTTTCGTATGATATTATTTCTAGCACCCACTTTTTGCTTGATATTCAAGCAGTGCTTCTTCTAAGTCAGAGCACAGTCCAGACTGACGCTCAGATATTTGGGTGTGTTGCAATGTTCCAGTGGGATTCCTCCCCAGGTCATCCTCAGAGCTCGAGATACTTATCAGTTCTTAAGATGAAAAGCACACGCCTGTGTTTTAGATGGATTAAGAATCAGCTGCTTTTCCCAGTATTTGGGAGTAAAAGCACCTAAAGCTTCAGAGAGTATCTGTTCAGTCATTTCAAAACTGGGTTGTTGTAGGGTTTTTTTGGGCTATATGGCCACAATTATAGCACCGTTATCAAGCAATCATCAACCATACCTTATTCGGTTCTTGTGGGTTTTTTCGGGCTATAGGGCCATGTTCTAGAGGCATTCTCTCCTGACGTTTCGCCTGCATCTATGGCAAGCATCCTCAGAGGTAGTGAGGTCTGTTGGAACTATTAATTATTAATAAGTGATATTATTAATAATAATTACAAGGACACCACCATTAAGAGCACACTTCCAAGCGAATGGTACTTGGCTCTTGAAGTTTTCGGTTGTGATGGAGTCTTCAAGTAATGATATTACTGGGAGTATTAGGAGGGGAAGAAAGACTACTCGTGAGCAAGACTCCGATGAGAAGCAACAGAGAGAGCGGATCAGGGAAATAATTATGGAATCCAGTGATGATGAATCATTTGAGGGCTTCGCAGGGAATAATGGGTGTGAGACTGAGGAGAGTGGTATGGCAAGTTCAGAGGATGGAGAAATGGACTGGACTAAAGTTCAGAACGTCTGTGAAGAGCCCACAAGTAGCAACACGTTTGTGAGGTTCTCTGGTTGGAACATTGGGGATCCGGCTGAGTCTTGGGGAGTTTTGGGTCTGGATAGAAGATGGAGAGATTGGAGGGATCAGCAAAGGGCTTCAGCTGAAAGGAGGCCTGGTGGGGCGTTGTCTGATTCCAGTTCTGAGGAGGAATTGGGGTAAGGGGGTTTCAGCTGGTAAGAGAGTGTCAGCTGGTTCCAGTTCGGAGGATGATTTGTGAATAAAAGTGGGGTTGGGAAATGGAGTTCCTTGCAGTCGGCAAGGTGTTGATGGGTATTCGTGTGTCCTTGAGAGCTATTTGGGAAGACGTGTTTGAACATGGCCATATAGTCCAAAAAAACCTACAACAACTCAGTGAGTCCGGCCATGAAAGCCTTCAACAATACATTTCAAAACTCTCTGCTTGATGGCACAATCATCAGCATAGATTAAACTGTCTGTCCCTTCTGGCAGTGGCTGGTCATTTGTGTAGATGTTAAGCATCGATGGAGCAAGCATGCTCCCCTGAGGTAGGCCGTGCTTCTGTTTCCACCATCTGCTTCTCGGACCCTGGAACTCAACAAAAAAACTCCTTTTTTGTAGCAGGTTTCCTATGAGACAGGTGAGGTGGTAGTCCTTTGTGACATTTTTCTCAGGAGGAGGCGGTGGTTTACAGTATCATAAATATCACAATATTATAGATGTGGGTGAAAGTTCAGGAGAGAATGCTTCAGGAACTTGGACATGCAGCCAAATCTAAAGTAGAACAACAACCGATTCCTAAGCCTTTTGGTAGTAAGAGTAGTCTCTGGTAAAAAATAAATAAATTGGGAACCATTGGGTTATATAGGAGAAAGAGGTTGGGCTGTATGCCCCTTGGGGGTCTCTTTCAACTCTAGGATTCTGTCCTATGCTAACATAGTGTATTGCTTTCGAATGAGAGCATTATGAAATGTCATTAAATGCCAAACTTCTGTAAAAGTTTCAAAACAACCCCACCTGCACAATTCCGCGCTTGTACATTGCACATAAGATAAAGAGAGAGTCCGAAGACCATTCGATGTGTTGGATTTGGTCCAAACAAGTGAAGAGCTGCAGGATTTGGAGGGTGTTGGCCTCGCGAATCACCAAACGATACTGCACTCCTGAAGCCTGAACGAGAAAACATACATAACTATATCAGTTTCTCAACCTTCCTAATGCCGCAATTCCTGAATACAGTTCATCATGTTGTGGTGACCCCCAACCACAACATTATTTTCATTGCTACTGTTATGAATCGTAATGTAAATATCTGATATGCAGGATGTATTTTCATTCACTGGACCAAATTTGGCACAAATACCCAATACATCCAAATTTGAAATCTGATCGGGTTGGGAGGGGATTGATTTTGTCATTTAGGAGTTCTAGTTGCTGGGATTTATAGTTCACCTACAATCAAAGAGCGTTCTGAACTCCACCAATGATGGAATTGAACCAAACTTGGCACACAGGACTACCATGACCAACAGAAAATACTAGAAGTGTTTGGTGGGCATTGACCTTGAGTTTGGGAATTGTAATTCACCTATTTATTTATTTACGGCATTTATATGCCCAAAGGGAACTCAGAGCAGCTTACAATAAATATTTTCATACAATATATTATATTATTAGCACAGCACAACATCAGTACTATACACCATTATATTTCACCATACCATTATATTATATTAGTAATATTACATGTAATGTAAATGTATAATTATAATTATAATATTGTATTATTATTACTAGTATTATATTGTATTACATTATAATATTATAAATATTATATGTATATACAATATATTATACTATATTATGATTAAAGACAACAACAACAACCGGATGGATAGGACTGACAAGACCATTGTGGAATTGGAATTGGAACTATGAGATTGTGAAACGCTGACTGTCAATGAGGTTTCTATTGGTTTTATTGCTTTTATTGGTTTTATGGTTGTTTTTGCCTATAGTAATTATTGTTTTCTGTTAATTGTTGTCATTGCTAGAATTGCTGTCTCTGTTAACAGATTTTATTGTCTTTTGCTGTTATGTGATGCGGGCATCGAATTGTGCCTCGTTTTTGTAAGCCGCTCTGAGTCCCCCCCCCCCCCCCCCCCGGGGTGAGAAGGGCGGGGTAGAAGCAACCGAAATAAATAAATAAATAAATAAAAACAACTACATCCATACAGCACCATGGACTCAAACAATGATGGATCTGGACCAAGCTTGGCACAAATGCTCAATATGCCCAAATGTGAACACTGGTGGAGTTCGGAGGAAAATAGGCCTTGACATTTGGAGATGGAATTGCTGGGATTTATAGTTCACTTACAATCAATAGAATTGGGCCAAACTAATAATAATAATAATAATAATAATAATAATAATAAACATTATTTATACCCCGCCACCATCTCCCCACAAATAATACCACAAAATTATATAATTAATCTAAGCGGGTTACATCCCGCTTAGACTACTGCAACGCTCTCTACGTGGGGTTGCCCTTGAAGACTGCTCGGAAGCTTCAAGTGGTCCAACGTTCGGCAGCCAGGTTGCTAACAGGAACGGCACTCAGGGAGCACACCACTCCTCTGCTGCGCCAGCTCCACTGGCTGCCAATCTGCTACCGGGCACAATTCAAGGTGCTGGCTTTAGCCTATAAAGCCCTAAACGGTTCTGGCCCTACTTACCTCTCCGAACGCATCTCCTCCTATGAACTGACTAGGACATTAAGATCGTCTGGGGAGGCCCTGCTCTCGGTCCCGCCCGCATCGCAGGCGCGGTTGGCGGGGACGAGAGACAGGGCCTTCTCGGTGGTGGCCCCTCGGCTGTGGAACGCCCTACCTGTGGACATCAGACAGGCCCCTTCACTGCTGGCATTCCGGAGGAAGGTCAAGACTTAGCTTTACGAACAAGCGTTTGGCTAAATAGTGCAATGAAATACAGTAAGATGGTACAACTGAACATAGGAATTGGTATAAAGGATTATGATTATGGATTATGATTCTGGATTTGTTTGCTGAGGCGCACGTCTATGATAATGATTGTTTTTGACTTGATATGTTTTGTATAATGTGCTTTTAATTGCTTTTTTGATGTTGTGTTAACCTTTACTATGTAAACCGCCTTGAGTCGCCATTTCGGCTGAGAAAGGCGGTATAGAAGTAAAGCAAATAAATAAATAAATATACAAGACAACAGAAAATAAATACAACAAATACATAATACATCAAATAAAAATAAAAATAACTAAAATAAAATGAATTAAACAATACAAAAACATCATAAACACAGTCACAATGGGCGGGCCCAGTGTGCAAGATAAAGTGCTAAAAACATTAAAACCCTGGGTGAGATAGGAAGTAGAAAAGGTGTATTTGAAATGGACGAGTCTGAGACGTGGAGAGCAGTGGGGCTTGGGCTTTATTTGGGATGGGGGAAAGTGCATCGTGTAAACAAACCGTAGGTGGAGACTTACAAAAATGGGTTAAGTGGTCACTCTCCAAAGGCACATCGGAAAAGTTTTTAGCCCTTTCTTAAAAGCTGCCAGGGTGGGGGCTTGCCTAATCTCACCTGGTAGTGAATTCCAGAGTCAGGTAGTCACAGCGGAGAAGGCCACAGCGGAGAAGGCCTCGTACCCACTAGCCATGCCTATGATAGGGGAAGGGGAGAAAGGAGGGCCTCCCCAGAAGATCAAAGGGATCGTGCAGGCTTATGGTAGGAGATGCAAAGGTACAAAGGTAGGCAGGTCCCAAACCGTTTAGGGCTTTATAGGTGATGGCCTGCACCTTGAATTGGGACTGGAAAATGAATGGAAGCCAATGGAGCTCCTTAAACGGGGGGGGGGGGGGGGGGGGGGGGGGGGGGGGGGCTGATTGCTCCCTGTAATTTGTCCCATGACCTGAAGGGACTCGCTGGCATGAGCCTCCCTCCAGTCTCGCAAGCTTTCCCTTGGGGGTTGGGTTGGGATTGATTTTGTCATTTGGGAGTTGTAGTTGCTGGGATTTGTAGTTCACCTACAATCAAAGAACATTCTGAACTTCACCAATGATGGAATTAAACCAGTCTTGGCACACAGAACTTCCATGACCAACAGAAAATACTGGAAGGGTTTGGTGGGCATTGACCTTGAGTTTTGTAGTTCATCTACATCCAGAGAGCACTGTGAACTCAAACAATGATGGAACTGGACCAAACTTGGCACAAATACTCAATATGCCCAAATGTGAACACTGATGGAGTTTGGGGGAAATAGGCCTTAACATTTGGGAGTTGTAGTTGCTGGGATTTATAGTTCACCTACAATCAAAGAGTATTCTGAACTCCACCAATGATGGAATTAAACCAATCTTGGCACATAGAACTTCCATGACCAACAGAAAATACTGGAAGGGTTTGGTGGGCATTGACCTTGAGTTTTGGAGTTGTAAGCACTGTAGACTCAGACAATGATGGAACTGGACCAAACACTACACGAATACTCAATATGCCCAAATGTGAACACTGGTGGAGTTTGGGAGGAAATAGAATCTTGACATTTGGGAGTTGTAGTTGCCAGGATTTATAGTTCACCTACAATCAAAGAGCATTCTGTACTCTGACAATGATGGAATTGAACCAGTCTTGGCACACTACCTACATGGCCAACATTGAATAATGGTGGGGTTGGTGGGGGGGCTATTTTTGAATTCTGGGAGTTGTAGTTCACCAACACCAAAATGGAAGGACAGACTGAGAGATCTTTAGCCTTCTCTGACAAAAGGGTTCCTATGAGCATCAGAAATATGTGTTTTCTGATGGACTTTGGTGACCCCTCTGAAACCCACTAGTGACCCCCCCCCCAGGGGTCCCAACCCCCAGGTTGAGAAATACTGCTCTAGTCTCACATGCTTCCCTCTTTTTCCAAAAGAGGATTCGCCCTCTTTTTCCAAAAAGGAAGAGAAGGATTTCGTAGGCTCTTTTAAGGAAGGAAGGAAATAAGGAAGGAAGGGAAAGGGGAAAAACGGAAGGGAGAAAGAAGGGAGGGGACAAGAAAGACAAAGGAGGGAAGGAAAGTAAGCAAAGGTGAAAAGGAGAGGAGGTGAAGAGAATGAAGGGGTGGAAGTAGGGAGCAACAGCATTTGGACAAGGCTAGTAAACAACAACAACAAGCACTATTTATTAACACACTTCCTCTATGAAAATAGTTCCCCAGTGTCCATTAAACTGGGTTGAGGATTTAACAGGTGAAAAAAGAATCCTACTATCCTGTTAGTAAGTGTTAATAAGTAGAGAGAGAGGTAATATTTAGTAGGGGGTTTCCCCGCTCTATTAAATGAAGCATTGTGTCCTGAGTTGCCCTTCAAAATCAGCCTTTAGACAATGTTGAAAGTAAAAGAAAAAAGCTTTACTCCAGCAAACAAAAAGGATAAGCAAATGCAATTGAAAAGTGCAAAGGAAAACATGGAAGTCTTAATCCAGACACAAATTAAAGTCTCTTACGAAGTCCCAAAAGAAACAGCAGTCCTCAATTAGATAATGAACTAAGTTCTTAGCAGTAAACACCTAACAGATTCCATTGGAGGGAAAACAACAGTATCAGGGTCTTTGTTACCAGCAAAAGCTGACTGCTCCTGATACTGGAGGTGCTAGGGTGTCTCCCAATTAGCTCAGCGTTTTTAGCAGCTATCTTAGCTGAACGCCGTCTGTGCTCTATTTATTTTTGTCTCTCTAGAAATGTGGGCCCTTTCAAACCCTCATTGTCTGATTCTTCTTCCCCCTCCAATTCTTGAGCACTTCCCTGCTCCCCTTCTGCCTCCGAAGATGAAGAATCCCTAACACATCCCTAACAAACATATCTCCTGTTATGAACCATCACGAAGTTTAAGATCATCTGGAGAGGCCCTGCTCTTGATCCCACCACCATCGCAAATGTGACTGGTGGGGATGGGGGACAGGGCCTTCTCAGCAGTGCCCCCCCCCCCCCGTGGAACTCCCTCCCCAGGGACAGCAGACTGGCCACCTCCCTCTTGTCTTTCAGAAGGAAACTTAAGATGTGCTTATGAGACCAGGCGTTCAACTAGCGAATCATAGAATCCTAGAGTTGGAAGAGACCTCATGGGCCATCCAGTCCAACCCCTGCCAAGAAGCAGGAATATTGCATTCAAAGCACCCCTGACAGATGGCCATCTAGCCTCTGCTTTAAAACATCCAAAGAAGGAGCTTCCACCACACTCCGGGGCAGAGAGTTCCACTGCTGAACGTGAAAGTGGAAACCTATGACAATAAATGGAACCAGACTTGGATTTGGTTTTTAACTGGTGTGTTCAATCAATTGTTTCAATTAACAGTTTTAATGTTTTAATGTATTTATTGAAATGTTTTATGTTTAGGATGGCACCGTATGGTGCTTGTTGTGAGGCCGTTGCATCCCCCCGGGGTGAGAAGGGTGGGGTATAAATATAGGAAATAAATGAATAAATAACATTGTTTTATTTTGACGTGCCCCATAGCCAGATCCCTTGGTTCCTCCTCGTTCCTCCCATCTACCCTCTAAGTCCTCCTACAAACATAATAGGAACAAAGCAGGAAACTCACCAGGCATTTCCCATCTGGAGAGAACTTGCACAACTGGTTGGAGAGTTTGAGTATTTCGGAGAAATTCATGCTGTCCAATTTTGTCCTGATCCTTTACTCCACTGAAGAAAGAAGAGGTCTTGCTGGTTGTTCTCTCAGACAAAGGGCCCTGTCCTTGAATATAGAATATCCATATTCCACATAATGAGGGGAAAATGATATTTTTTTTGCTGTAATGATGAGGAAAGTCTTCCCAAAATGCTCTGGAATGAAACTGTCCAAGTTCACGAAGGTCAATATTAGTTCTATAAGAACGAAGATACTAATATCCTAAAACATAAATAATGTGAAGGAAGCTCCTCTCAATGGGAAAGGATCGGCTCCCAGTTCCGTCCAGAAGAAGAAAAGAAAGCCAACCATCTCCCCACCTGGAAAATATAGAATATGATCAAATTAGAAGGGTGGAATATAAATGCTGTAAATAAATAAGTAAATAAGCAATGGGAGAAAATGGAGAAAATGCCAATTGGGAAAAAATAGGGGCGGAAAATGATATAATATTATAGAAGTACAGCTTGAGGAAAATATGAAGTGAGATATAGATGATATAGCTATATATATATATATATATATATATATACACACACACACACACACACACACACACACACGTATATTAATGCAATATTAAATAAATAAAACAGAAATATTAATTGAACGTTAAGCAAATCTAACAGGAAAACATATTAGTAGACATGAAATTTTTATATAAATATTAAAGGATAGCATTATTAAATAAGTAAAACAAAAATATTAACTGAATGTTAAGCAAATATAATAGGAAAACATATTAGTAAATATGAAATTTTTATATAAATATTAAAGAAATGCATTATTAAATAAGTAACAGAAATATTAATTGAATGTTAAGCAAATATAGTAGAAAAACATATTAGTAAATATGAAATTTTTATATAAACATTAAAGGAATGCATTATTAAATAAGTAACAGAAATATTAATTGAATGTTAAGCAAATATAGTAGAAAAATATAAGTAAATATTAATTTTTATATAAATATTAAATAAGTAAAACAGAAATATTAATTGAATGTTAAGCAAATATAATAGGAAAATATTAAAGGAATGCATTATTAAATAAGTAAAACAGAAATATTAATTGAATGTTAAGCAGATATAGTAGAAAAATATAAGTAAATATGAATTTTTATATAAATATTAAATAAGTAAAACAGAAATATTAATTGAATGTTAAACAAATATAATAGGAAAAAATATTAGTAAATATTATTTTAATATAAATATTAAAGGAATGCATTATTAAATAAGTAAAACAGAAATATTAATTGAATGTTAAGCAAATATAATAGGAAAAATATTAGTAAATATAATTTTTAATATAAATATTAAAGGAATGCATTATTAAATAAGTAAAACAGAAATATTAATTGAATGTTAAGTAAATATAATAGGAAAAATATTAATTTTTAATATAAATATTAAAGGAATGCATTATTAAATAAATAAAACAGAAATATTAATTGAATGTTAAGCAAATATAGTAGAAAAAATATAAGTAAATATGAAAATTTTATATACATACTAAAGGAACGCATTATTAAATAAATAAAAGAAATATTAATTGAATGTTAAGCAAATATAGTAGAAAAAATATTAGTAAATATGAATATTTATATAAATATTAAATAAGTAAAACAGAAATATTAATTGAATGTTAAGCAAATATAGTAGAAACAAATATTAGTAAATATGAAAATTTTATATAAACATTAAAGGAATGCATTATTAAATAAGTAAAACAGAAATATTAATTGAATGTTAAGCAAATACAATAGGAAAACATATTGGTAAATATGAAATTTTTATATAAATATGAAAGGAATGCATTATTAAATAAGTAAAATAGAAATATTAATTGAATGTTAAATAAATATAATAGAAAAATATGAAATTTGTATATAAATATGAAAGGAATGCATTATTAAATAAATAAAACATAAATATTTATTGAATGTTAAATAAATATAAAAGAAATATTATTAAATTATGTATAAATACATAGAATAGATGGTATAGAGACTATAAAGAGAGTTATATAGGGGTTTGAGACAGATATAGTTGATAATATAGGTATATAGCAGGCCTGGGCCAACTTGGGCCCTCCAGGTGTTTTGGACTACAACTCCCACAATTCCTAACAGCCTACCGGCTGTTAGGAATTGTGGGAGTTGTAGTCCAAAACACCTGGAGGGCCCAAGTTGGCCCAGGCCTGCTATCTATGTAATTAGAGACAATATAGAGATGTCTAATACAGAAAAATAGGAGGAAATAGAGGGAATTGGGCCAAACTATGGGTCAAAAAGGAGAGAGAGAGGCAGACATACAGACCAAGCTCACGCGCATGCGCCCTGAGGGGAGAAGAACCCCCTCACGCAACGCTGCCCCTCCCGCGCCGGATTCTAAGATTCCCGCCAATCAGGACGAATCTTCGCGGGCCTTAGCCAGACCGGAAAGGGCGGGGTTAGAGGAGGCGCGGCGGCCCAGGGTATGCTGGGAAATGTAGTTTCGCAGGGTTTCCTCTCAAACTAGCACTTTTTCTGGTTTTTTGTGGTTGCAACAAGTGCTATTTAAATATTAGGTAAATAATATTAACATTGTTACTAAGTAAATATATTAGAAACCTTGTTAACTGAATAGAATACAAATATTAGTTGAATATAATAGAAATATTATTGATTAAATGTCAAAAAAATAGGATATAAAAATTAAATAAATATAATAGAAATATTATTGTTTAAATGTTAAATAAATAGGATATAAATATTATTAAATATTATAGATTAAATGTTAACTAGATATAATAAAATATTATAGATTAAATGTTATATAAATATAATAGAAATATTATTAATTAAATATAATAGAAATATTATTAATTAAATATAATAGAAATATTATTAATTAAATATAATAGAAATATGAGATTAAATGTTAAATAAATATAATAGAAATATTATTAATTGAATATAATAGAAATATTTTTGATTAAATGTTAAATAAATAGGATATAAATATTATTAATTACATATAATAGAAATATTATAGTTTAAATGTGAACTAGATATAGTAAAATATAGATTAAATGTTATATTAATATAAAAATATTAATTAAATGTTAAATAAATATAATAAAAATATTATTAATTGAATATAATTAAAATATTATTGATATAATGTTAAATAAATAGGATATAAATATTATTAATTACATATAAATATTATAGATTAAATGTTAACTGGATATAGTAAAATATTATAGATTAAATGTTAGATAACTATAATAGAAATATTATCAATTAAATATGATATAAATATGAGATTAAATGTTAAATAAATGTAATAGAAACATTATTAATTGAATGTAATAGAAATATTATTGATTAAATGCTAAATAAATAGGATATAAATATTATAGATTAAAAGTTAACTGGATATAGTAAAATATTATAGATCAATGTTATATAAATATAATAGAAATATTATTAATTATATACAATATAAATATTATAGCTTAAATGTTAACTAGATATAGTAAAATATTATAGATTAAATGTTCTATAAATATAGAAATATTAATTAAATGTTAAATAAATATAATAGAAACATTATTAATTGAATATAATAGAAATATTATAGATTAAATGCTAAATAAATAGGATATAAATATTATTAATTACATATAAATATTATAGATTAAATGTTAACTAGATTTAATAAAATATTATACATCAAATGTTATATAAATATAACAGAAATATTATTAATTAAATATAATATAAATATGAGATTAAATGTTAAATAAATATAATAGAAACATTATTATTTGAATATAATAGAAATATTATTGATTAAATGCTAAATAAATAGGATATAAATATTAATTACGTATAATATGAATATTATAGATTAAATGTTAACTAGATATAGTAAAATATTATAGATTAAATGTTATATAAATATAATAGAAATATTATTAATTAAATAAAATATTATAAAATGTTAAATAAATAGGATAGAAATATTATTAATTATATGCAATATAAATATTATAGCTTAAATGTTAAATAAATATAGTAAAATATTATAGATTAAATATAATATAAACATAGAAATATTATTAATTAAATGTTAAATAAATATAATAGAAATATTATTAATTGAATATAATAGAATTATTGATTAAATGTTAAATAAATAGGATATAAATATTATTAATTACATATAATATAAATATTATAGCTAAATTTTAACTAGACATAGTAAAATATTAGAGAGCAAATGCTATATAAATATAATAGAAATATTATTAATTAAATATAATATAAATATGAGATTAAATGTTAAATAAATATAATAGAAACATTATTAATTGAATATAATAAAATATAGATTAAATGCTAAATAAATAGGATATAAATATTAATTACGTATAAAATGAATATTATAGATTAAATGTTAACTAGATATAATAAAATATTATAGATCAAATGTTATATAAATAGAAATATTATTAATTAAATATAATATAAATATGAAATGTTAAATAAATATATTTATTTATATATTTATTTAATAATAATATTATTAATTACATATAATAGAAATATTATAGCTTAAATGTTAACTAGATATAGTAAAATATTATTAATTAAATGTTAAATAAATATAATAGAAACATTATTAATTGAATATAATAACATATTATTGATTAAAAGTTAAATAAATATAAATATATAAATATTATTAATTACATATAAATATAGATTAAATGTTAACTAGATATAATAAAATATTATAGATCAAATGTTATATAAATATAATAGAAATATTATTAATTAAATATAATAGAAATATGAGATTAAATGTTAAATAAATATAATAGAAACGTTACTAATTGAATATAATAGAAATATTGATTAAATGTTAAATAAATAGGATATAAATATTATTAATTACATATAATATGAATATTATAGATTAAATGTTAACTAGATATAATAAAATATTATACATCAAATGTTATATAAATATAGAAATATTATTAATTAAATATAATATAAATATGAGATTAAATGTTAAATAAATATAATAGAAACATTAATTGAATATAATAGAAATATTATTGATTAAATGTTAAATAAATATAATAGAAACATTATTAATTAAGTATAATAAAATATTATAGATTAAATGTTAAACAAATAGGATATAAATATTTTTAATTAGATATAAATATTATAGATTAAAAGTTAACCAGAGATAATAAAATATTACACATCAAATGTTATATATTGTCAAAGGCTTTCATGGCCGGAATCACTGGGTTGTTGTAGGATTTTTCGGGCTATATGGCCATGGTCTAGAGGCATTCTCTCCTGACATTTCGCCTGCATCTATGGCAAGCATCCTCAGAGGTAGTGGGGTCTGTTGGAACTAGGAAAAGGGGTTTATATATCTGTGGGATGATGTCCAGGGTGGGAAAAAGGACTCCTCATTTTCTTTGTCCATGCTGAATTGGATGTTTGGGTGGATGCTGTTAAGATGGTCCAGGAATGTATGTTCATTCACTTGGCCAAATTTGGCACAAATACCTGATAAGCCCAAGTTTGAATACTGGTGATTGATTTTGTCATTGGGGACTTGTAGTTGCTGGGATTTATAGTTCACCTACAATCAAAGAGCATTCTGAACTCCACCAACAGTGGAATTGAACCAAACTTGCCCCACAGAACTCCCATGACCAACAGAAAATACTGGAACAGTTTGGTGAGCATTGACCTTGAGTTTGGGAGTCATAGTTCACCTACACCCAGAGAGCACTGTGGACACAAACAATGATAGCTCTGGACCAAATTTGGCACAGATACTCAATATGCCCAAATTTGAACACTGGTTAAGTTTGGTGGGAAATAGACATTTTAGAGTTGTAGTTGCTGGGATTTATAGTTCACCTACAATCAAAGAGCATTCTAAACTCCACCAACAGTGGAATTGAACCAAACTTGCCCCACAGAACTCCCATGACCAACAGAAAATACTGGAACAGTTTGGTGGGCATTGACCTTGAGTTTGGGAGTCGGAGTTCACCTACACTCCCAAATGACAAAATCAATCCCCTTCCCCAACCTCAACAGTATTCAAACTTGGGCATATCAGGTATTTGTGCCCAGTTTGGTCCAGTGAATGAAAATACATCCTGCAAAATAGATGTTTACATTGTGATTCATAACAGTAACCAAATTAGAGTTATGAAGTTGCAAGGATTTTTATTATTATTATTATTATTATTATTATTATTATTATTATTATTATTATTATTATTGGGGGTCACCACAATATGAGGCATTAGGAAGGCTAAGAAACACTGTTTTAGATGGTTTGCCTTTGGGAGAAACAATCATCATCATCATCATCATCATCATTGTTTGTGTCCAGAGTGCTCTCCGGATGTAGGTGAACGACAACTCCCAAACTCAAGGTCAATGCCCACCAAACTGTTCCAGTATTTTCTGTCGGTTATGTAAGTTCTCTGTACCAAGTCTGATCTATTTCCATTGTTGGTGGCGTTCAGAATGCTCTTTGATTGTGGGCGAACTATACATCCCAGGAACTACAACTCCCAAAGGACAAAATCAATCCCCTTCCCCAACCCCAACTTGGGCATATCAGGTATTTGTGCCCACTTTGGTCCAGTGAATGAAAATACATCCTGCAAAACAGATGTTTACATTGTGATACATAACAGTAACCAAATTAGAGTTATGAAGTTGCAAGGATTATTATTGTTGTTGTTGTTGTTGTTGTTGTTATTGGGGGTCACCACAATAAACTGCGGGGGTGGAGAGAGAGGAGCTTTGAGATGGTAGAACAGAAGCTCTCCGAAGCTCTAGGTGCTCTTACTGCCTATTACAAGGAAAACCAACTGATCCCTAATCCATCTAAAACACAGACATGTGCTTTTCACCTTAAGAACAGACAAGCATCCCGAGCTCTGAGGATGACCTGGGAAGGAATCCCACTGGAGCATTGCAGCGCACCCAAATACCTGGGAGTCACTCTGGACCGTGCTCTGACCTACAAGAAGCACTGCCTGAACATCAAGCAAAAAGTGGGCGCTAGAAACAATATCATACGAAAGCTGACTGGCACAACCTGGGGATCACAACCAGACACAGTGAAGACATCTGCCCTTGCTGCTGAGTATGCATGCCCAGTGTGGAACACATATCACCACACCAAAACACTAGATGTGGCTCTTAATGAGACATGCCACATTATCACAGGGTGTCTGCGCCCTACACCACTGGAGAAATTACACTGCTTAGCCGGTATCGCACCACCTGACATCCGCCGGGAAGTGGCAGCCAATAGTGAAAGGACCAAGGCAGAGACATCTCCAGCTCATCCCCAGTTTGGGTCTC